CGACCCCACGGAATTTGCCTGCATGAAGGCCGTGGTGCTCTTCAAACCAGGTGAGGCCACCCCCAGCACCCACCACTGGCCATCCCCCATGCCCCTCCCCAGCCTGTCACCCCCTTGTCCCTGCAGAGACCCGTGGCCTGAAGGACCCTGAGCAGGTGGAGAACCTGCAGGACCAGTCACAGGTGATGCTGGGCCAGCACAACCGTTCCCACTACCCTGGGCAACCTGTCAGGTACTGCTGTCCCCACGTCTTCACGGGTGACACCGGGGTGGGACACCCACCCATGGCCACCGCTCCATCCCCCAGGTTTGGGAAGCTGCTGCTGCTCCTCCCAGCGCTGCGCTTCATCTCCTCGGAGCGCGTGGAGCTGCTCTTCTTCCGCCGCACCATCGGCAACACCCCCATGGAGAAGCTGCTGTGTGACATGTTCAAGAACTGACCTCCCCGCTGTCACCCGGCTCGTTTGTCACCCTGCGCTGGCACCCCGTCACCCGCACACTGGGTTGCGAAGGTGCCCATGTATCCCACCTCTGGGGCAATGGCCAGGACTGTGGAATGCTGCTGGCAGCTGGGAGGTGGGACCAGCTCCCCTGGGAGTGGAAGGGGGATGTCCCCAAGTTAGTGCACAGTGCACTGGCAGCACCTCAGCGGGGTCCGTCCCGATGGTGTCCCAAATGCTGGAGGAACCCGGGCAAAGGCACCTCGGCACCATGAGGACCTGCTGCCACCCAGGGGTCACCAGCCTGGGGGGACGCTTACCCAGGGATGGTGCCAACCTGGGGCACAACATCAGCCAGGGATGACAAGGGCCAAGGGTGGTGCCACCTGGAGGTGACACCAGGCTGGGACATCCTCAGGTTGATCCCAGACCAGGGCTGACACTGGACAGGGGTGATCCCAGCCCGGGGTGACACGCGGTGACAGACCCTTGTCCCTGTGCTCCGGGGTCTCCCACTTGTGTCCCCCATTTTATACTCGGAATAAAGAGAGTTTTGCAGCCAGAGTCCCTGTGCAATGACTTGGATCCCCTTGGATGGGGGACTGGGGAGGACCAGCTGAATGTGAATAACCTGAGTAGGAATAAATAAAAATCAATAATCTGAATGTAAGTACCTTGAAAATAAATTATTTGAATGGAAAGAAACGAAATATAATTAAAATGAGTATAAATAATGTGAATTAAATAATCAATATAAGATAAATAGAAAAATAGGAATAAAAATAAAATGAAAATAAATAACCTGAAATTATCTGGATATAAAAAATATCAATATAAAGAATCCGTTTGGAACTATTCTATTTGAAAGAATCTGAATGAAATTATTTGAATAGAAATATAATGAAACGAAGTAAACTGAGATATTCTGAATAGAAATTAACTGAAAATAAACTATCTTAATATAAGTAGATGAATATGAATACTCTGACTGGATCAAATGGGAATTAAATAGTACAAATACAAAGAAAATGAAATTAAATAATCTTAATGGAAATAAAATGCATGTAAATTATTGGAATATAAATATCTGCTTTGAAATCACCTTAATTAAATAATCTGAATAGAAAGAAAATAAAACAAAGTAATCTGAAATAATATAAATAGAAATAAATTGAGAACAAACAAACTGCATATAAATAAGAGAAACATAATGAATCTCATTGGAAATCATCTGAATTAAATTATGAGGACAGAAATCAAATGAAATAATCTGAATAGAAATAAACTGGAAAGAAATTGTCTGAATATAAACAGTCTATCTAAAACTAATCTGAAATAATCTGAATACAGAAAAATTGAAAATAAATTATATAAATATGAATGAAATATAAATTATCCGATTAAAATAATTTGTATATAAATAATCTGTATATACATAAACAAAAATAATGTGAGTAACAAGTAAGAGAGATAGAAATTCTCTGAACATAAATAATGAGAATGTGAATAACCAGCATTAAACAACAGGAGGGAAGTGATCTGGAGCCCTGGCTCCCCATCCCATTTCCTCCATGCACACGGGATTGGGGTGTTGACCTGCTCCATACACATGGGGATCGGAAAAATCCACAACTTCATCACCCCATGGAAGGAATGGAATAAGCCCCAGCCTCCCGGGCTATGGGCAGGGGGTGGCAGGAACAGCGTCCCACTGGGAGTTCTTGGCCTTTGCAGCATGACTCTTTTATTTGTCTGTTTTTGTCAGTTTGTACAAGATTCCGAGCACGGGCGACGCGGGATAATATATCCTCTTACATACAGACTCTGTTTAGTTTACAAGCAGCGACTTTATAAATTACTTAGAAAACTTTTCATGAAAAATAACAATAGTTCCCCTTGCAGCCCTCCAGTAGTCAGTACATTCAGCCCTCTGAATACCCTCTGGGACCCCAAATCCTACCAGGGAAGGGCTGGGAAGGAGTGGGGGAGATGCTGGGGGAAGGGGACCCTGGGACGTGCCATTATCCCTCCAGTCCTGCTCAGCTCCAGCCAGAGCTGCATTTTATATTTATATATATATATGTATATATTTCTTTTACATGTGTTCTTCTTTATACATATAACCACAAATATATTATAGATAGATATATATATAAAGAAACATATTTTCTATATATTCTATATATATTCCATACATTTATCTATGTCAAGAAGTCTATTTTCTTTGTATATTTTCCCTACATTCCATACATTTTTATATATATGAAGAAATAGAGAAAATATATTTCTTTATATATACTATATATTTCCTTTATATATTTCTTTACAGAGAAATACACTCTTTATATAAAGAAATATATAAATATATGTGAAGAAACATATATAAACACATATTAAACATACATTAAATATGTTTAAATTATATAACATTAAATATGTTTCTACATAGAGAAGAAATACATTTGAATATATATAAAGTAATAAATATTCTTTATATATAGCACATATCTTTTATATACTTCCTTATATATAGAAATATGTAAAATATATACATAAGGAAATATATAACTAATTTCCTTTATAGACTTCTTTATATATAAATATATAAGCATATATACATAAAGAAATATGTATTCTTTATATATAGAATATCTTATATATTTATATATAAATACGTACTATATATAAGAAATAGAAAATACATAAATGTATTTAGTTTTAATATTATTTTATGTATTTTAAAATTATACACTATTTATTCTTTTGTGTGTATATTTTCTTTATATATAGAATATATATTTTTATATATGTTCTTTATATATATAAATTTCACTTACATCTATTTTCCTTATATAGAGATCAAATATATATAAGGAAAACAAATATATTCCAAAAGAAATTAGATACATATACATATACATACATATACATATATATATGCATATACATAGATTTATAGACATATATACATATACACACATAGATATGTATACATATATATGAGCATATATATATATATGTATGTATTTGCCTGAGCCAGAGCTGACGTCCCTGCTCCCATCCCACAGGGATGAGTCACTGAGGATGAGGCTGGACTCTTCACCTGTCCCCATGATCTCCTCCCCTGGGGCCATTTTAGGGGCAGTTCTGGGTTTTTCAGTTCAAGAGGCTCAAAAGGCTGGTTTGGCACCAAGCATTCGGATGCTCCTGGCAATCTCAGCTCCCAGAGAGTCTGGGGTGGCTCCCCAGCAGTTTCCACTGCTGTAGTCACCATCCACCCTTCCAGTGCATCTGGGTTGGTTCCCAAAGCCCTATTTTCCCCTCTGGAGCTGGGAAAATCCCATTTTTCCCCATGGATGGGGGTGATTGCCTTGGTCTTGCTCCACTCCCAGGAGGCAGCGCCGAGGCCAATGCTGTTCCCACTCTCCCTGTGGCATCTGTCACTTCCTCCGTTGGAAAATAATTAAAGATAACATGAAAAAGAAATCAAATTTCAAATATAAGGTAAAATGCAACCCAAATAAATAAACCATCCCTGGAATGGGCAGGGGGAGAGGGGACCAAAGAGCAGCTTGGCCAAACACAGGCATGCTGGGAAAAGACATAATACTCAGGAATGCTCAATATCTTGCTCAATTTTCCCCATTTTTGATGGCATTTTGGGAAAGGACGAGCCCCAGCCTGCCTAGGAGGACAGATCTAGCCTTTATAAATCAAATTAGCACCCTGGAGTTCCTAATTTTGCCTTTCCAGAGGTTTTCTGGTACCCAGAGCCTCTCCAGGTGCCACTGAGGATGATGATAAGATGACTGGGGAGGGATTGCAAGCTGAGTCATCAACTAGCATCATTAATTAATCCTGTGATGGGTTTTGATGGTCTAATTATACCGCCAGGGATTTCTTGCTGAAAATAAAACTCCAAGTTTTATTGAGTGAAGGCCAGTGACACCAAGGATGGCTCAGCCAATTGCTCCCCTCATCTCCAGCCCAATAATATTAATAATAATAATAGTAATAACAATAATAATAGTAAAAAAAGAAAAAAAAAACAAAACAAAAGAAGTTCTGTCTGGGGAAAAATATAAAAAAAATTTAAAAATATATATTTACACAAAACTCCAGGAACCAGCATATAAACAAATATCGCTTCAAGTAGTCCTCAATTATTATTAAGTATTATTATTTTTTAATACTGATGACCTCCAAAAAAAAAAACAACCATAGGAAAGATGGTTAGGTCTCATTAAAAAATAAAAAAACAAAGGGAAAAGGTGATTTTTGGCAGGTTTGAACACTTTTCCATGCACTCGGCGTTGGTGTGGATGAGGTGGTTAAAGCGTGGAGGGCTCGGCTGCAGTGGGGCCGGCTCGGGATGCTCCTGTGGGAGTTTTAGGCTTGGCTTGCTCCTACCAACAAGCGATGGCGATTCGGCACAAGGATTTGGCGGCGGATGCTCCGAGATGTGGGATGCTCCGAGGGGAAGGGCCAGGAGCCAGTCAGTGCCTCCCATCCCCACCCACCCCCTGGCCACCTGAAGGCCTCAACTCCCCACAAATCATTAAGGCCACCATTAAAACCCTTCCCTCCCGGCCTTTTTAATTAAGAATTCATCTCCTGGTGTTATCAAGGAAGCCATCAGAGTACTGCCAATGGGGAGGATGCCCCGGCATGGACGCGGCTCCAGGGTGGAACATCTCAGACCATGAACTCGTTGCTCCCCAGGAGGACAAGGGGTTGGGTGGCGGCGCAATCGGCCTCGGGGTTCCTCTTGTGTCCCCCTCCAGGCCCCCCATCTGGGGGCTCTTTGGTTTTTGGGGGGGAAGATTTCACACTCTTCAGTTTCTGTTTGCCTTTCTCTGGGTTGAAGGTCCCGCGCGTGGTGAACTGTGGCCGGTCCTCGGGATAATGGAGAGGCCCCGTCAGGCCCTCGGGGCTCGCTCGGCTTTCGGGGGCCTCACCGTGTCCCCCTGCTCGGTAGAAAGGCGATTTGGAGTACATCTGGAAGCGCTTCCGGGGCAGGTGGGGCAAGCAGGAGGTGGACGATTGGGAGGAGGAAGAAGAGGAGATGGGGGTGTCAGTTGGCTCCACCGGCTCCAGCCGCATCCTCGGGTGCCGTCGCAGCCGGCTCGGCCCCTCGGCCTTGGCAGGGCGCAGGGAGGTAAGTGCTACACTTCTCTCTGCAGGGGCAGAAGGACCATGGATGGTCAACACCCCGACATCACTCAGTATCCAGACACTCCTCTCCCTGGGGACACATGCAATTGAAGCCAGGGCAAATTGCCAGCATCTCCGTGGGGGCAGCATCATCCCAGACGATGTGGCAGCGCTGGAAGGATGTTCTCCTCCCCACCTCACCAACGCTGGCTGCTCCCACCCATTCCCCAAGGGCCACGTGCTTGAACCCTTAACCCTCTGCATACATTTAAACTGTCGACTTTAAATAAACTTGAAAATCCCAAATAACCCCACTGAAAGTGACAGAAAAACATGGTGGAAGGTGTCTCTGCCCATGGCAGGGAGATGGACCTCACGACTTTTGAAGGTCCCTTCCAACCCAAACCACTCCATCATAAACCCAAGAACAACTGGATTTACCTGAGCGATCGGAGATGGCTCCTTCGGAGTCGAAGTTCAGATTTTCAGAGCTGTCGGCTGTGCCGATGGAGGCTTCGGACTCAAGGGTTTCATCGTCGGAGGCGCGGGGTTCCAGTGTCAGCATCTCGAATGTCAGCTCCTCCCTGCAAAACCAACCAGCCCCATTGACCCAACGGGACTAAAAAGGTGGAGAGGAGAAAGGGGTGCACATGCACCTAGAGATCATGAAGGGGTGGAGCCCCCCAGTTATCAACCACATGATACCAAGCAACATCCAGAGGCTGGGGATGTGGCTTGAACCCTCAGCCAGACTCACTTTTCCTTCTGCAGGCTCTCAATCTGCTCAGTCAGCACCTTCTCCTCCTGCTGCATGGCCACCTGCTGCTGCTCTGTCACTTCCATCTCCATGGCCTCCTCACTGCTCAGGGTCTCCTCAGGGATGTCGGTCACCGAGGACAGGCGCCCAGGGACAGGGGATGCGGGGCTGGGGAAGGCGCCGCGCCGCACGCGTCCTTTGCCCTGAAGAGAGACAATGGTGTCACCATCACCAGCCGAGCTGATGGGGCAAACACTCAGGTGCCAACCACACTGCTCTCCCAAGGAGTGAAGAAGAAGGCCCCAGACATCGGTCCTCAGTGTGCTGCTGCTGGATGCACCCTGGACCCTCCAAAACCTCAGGCTGGGAGAAGTACCAGAAGGACTCAACACACTGGAGGGGATGGGGATGGAGGTGGTGAGGAAGGCAGTGCTGAGGATGATGCTGATGGACCAAGTGCAACTTGGTCCAGGTCCAGGCAAGCCCAGCTGGCACCAGGCTGGGTTCCCACAAAGCCCAGAGCCTGTGCGGTGGCTTTGGGTGGGAGCATCACCAAGGCTTTGATTTCAGGGTACCTGACTCCTATTTTATCCTTGGAAAAGTCTCACATCCTTCCCTCATCCACCCTTGGTACTTCCTGAGCATCACAAGGGTCTCACTGACCCCTTCAGCAAACAGGAACTCCCACCTAATTATGTTGTCCATGCCCTGCCATGTCTCATGTACAGGAGATCCAGAAACCAGGACCACTTCCAGTGGTCCATTGCAAGACAACCAATGTGGATCTCTGTGCCCACAGTTGAACTTGCTCTGATTTAATGCAGCTCTGAAGAACTATCTCATTTTTTTAATACTGAAACTGAAAAAGAAAAAGGAAGCAAATGGTAGTGGTACAGGTGAAGAGATACATGTGCAACTGTTTTAATCTTCTGAGGGCTACAGATCTGCTCCACAGAGCAGAAGAAAAGGAAGGATTTCTTGGGGATGAGGGACATGGCAGAGATTGAACAGCTTTTATTTAAAATCATTATCACGACCAGACATCTCATCTTAAAACAATCCAGATCTGACATGACCAGGACTGGGAGATGTCCATCACTTGCTACCCTCGCTTGACAACCATCACCCAGGAAGAACCGGCATCTCCTTGGGGTTGAAGAGCCTGTTGCAGCTCAGTTTTGCTCCCCCTGTTTAACCCCTGCAACTGTAGTACCCCTGAGTCTTCCTGACCATGCAACCAGAGCAGATTTTCAGGATAAAGGATTCTCCTTTTTTCCCCTTTAAAAGCCAGATTTCCTCCATTTTAGCCCTTTCACCTTTTAACGTCACATCTCAGAGATCTTTCTCTGTCAGCAAAGCCTCTCCTGTGCCCTGGTGTTCTTCTGATGACACTTTCACGTGGGCTCCTGAGCTGAATCACAGCTCCCTGAATCCTATTAGCCAAAAGCCCCAAGATCTCAAAGATCCCACTGGCTTGTGGACTTAAGCACCTGAGAAATGCCATACTCAGGGGAGCAGAGCTGAAATTTTGTTCTTCTCCACCTTCTGACACTCATGGATGTAGAAGAATGGGAGGAACCTGAGGGAATTTTCGTCATGGGCTGAGCCTATTAGGAAAGGAGACAGCCCTATGAGCATTTCCAAAATCCTGCAGGTGCTTTTCTTGCCTGTCACAATCTCATAGAACTCAAACTCAAGCTGGGATGGATTTAGGGAATAGAGGACTTTCCAGACTCCTCCTCATTCAAACCTGGGTGTCCAGACCTTGTGTTCAGGGTGGTGGTGCTCCTCCTCCAAGAAGGTGGAGGAGACCTTTGGATGCCTCGAGGTCTCCAAGGCATCCAAGCTGAGGGTTGTATTCACCATCTTCAGAAACAGCAGCGCTGTGAAAGCAACTTGATGCTGAAACGCACCCTGAGCGAGGAGAAGTTGAGGTGGGAAAGGAAGGGATGTGTCAAGCAAAGTAAAAAAGAGGGAAGCACAGGATGGAAAAAGAAAATAAAATAGAAAATGAAAGTAGGAAGGAAAAAGGGTTGGGAAGCGTATTTCTGAGGAGCTGTGTGCAGGCATGGCCGAGCGCCAGCCCCAAACTCCTGTGCCCGGGGGACCTGCTGGAGGAACGGCGGCTCTGAGGAGCGGCAGGAGCAGACAGGTCACGGACAATGGCCAGTGGGACAGAGCTGGAATGAGCGACGGTGACACACAACGAGGGAGGCGGCAGCTGCCGCGGATACATACCGGGATTGAACTGCGGGTTATGCTCATAAATCTAACTGCAATTAGTACGGGCTTCTGGATTAGAGAGGAGATGAAAAGGAAAGCAGAAGGTTAGAGTGCACATGCCGCCGCCCCTCCAAAAACCCGCTTTGCTCAGTTTGAGTTTTTTTCGGTTAACTGAGATGAGTGGGGCAGCTCTGCAGCACCAGCTCCACAATCCTGGGCAGCCCCTGCTTGGATTTCATCCCCAAAAAGCAGAAGCAATGTGTCCCTGAGGATTACAGGGGGCAGGTCTAAGCAGAGGGGCTGCTTGGCTCCTCAGCCCAAGCCCGTGCTGATGGTGCTATGCCAGGTCCCTCTCCCGCAGCCCAACAAGCCAAGGACAGGTGCATCTGCAGCCTGCAGGCCCCCCACAAGCATGGAAGCTCAATGAGATGGGTTTGAGGCTCCCAAAAAGGCAGTGCGGGTGCAGGGAGACCCCTTGGGGAATCCATTTTGGGTCCAGATAATGTGACTGAGCACAAAAAACAATGGTCCAGGTCACCCATGGGGTGATGTTGAGCTGGTCACTGAAAGGTATGACTCAACTCAGGACCAAACAAGCTCAAATGAAGGTGGAAATGCTGATCAGGAACATCTGAGCAGGAGTGACGACGTTTCCATGGACTGTTCCCACCTCCTCGTGCTTTGGTATGACTCCCTGCAAAGGTGAGGAGCCATCACGGGGCTGAGGGTCCCTGTCCTGGTGGAGATGGCATAGGAGTTTGCGAGAGGTTTGGGAGGCTGAGATAAGCAGGAGAAGATAAGGGAGGGTGGCTTCAGGGGCAAGGAGAGGACAGGAGAGGACAGAGAGGGTTTTGGCATCTCACCATAGATCTGCGGATCAAGGAGAGGCGGCTCTTGGCTTTGTTCTCTGCGAATTCCAGGCTGTTGATGTCTTTGAGCCGAGCCCTGTACTTGTTCATCTGCTCAATGACAATTAATTCCACGCAACTAAGGGAGAAACCCAAAAGAAGACAAAATGGGAAGAGGAAGCCATTTCACTGATCTGCTCTCTGTCTTGTCTTGGCTTGACCTTCAACAGGATTTCCTGGTAGCTTCTCCCTTAGTTCCAGCACATCCTCTCATTTCATTGCAAGGAAAGGATTATTTTGAAGATAGGATTATTTTGAAGATCTGCCCTGATGGAAGAGCACAGAGGAGAAAGCACCAGCTGGAAGTCAGAGGGTGGTGAGAATTCTCCTAAAAAGAGTGATCACGGGCTAGGGATGGATTGAGGAACAGCCTAGAGATAGTAAAGATTGCCAAGGATCCCACCAGAGAAATTTACCCCCCTTGGAAGAGGGAGTGGTGGAATACAAACCTGGAGAAGGCAGGCTGATTCCAACTCAGTTGCACACAGTAACTCTGCAGCAGCTTGTGTATCTGAGCCGACTGTTTAATGTTGTCAGGAGGGTGTTTGGGGAAAAAAATAGTCCTTTACTTGTAATAAAGTGAGAGGATGTGCTGGAACTGAAGTGTGAGGCAGAAGCTACAATGAAATCCTGCCAGCTGGATCTCTAAACATGTTCTGGTCTTCAACAATTTTAATTCGTACGAGGTAAATGTTAATATGAGGAGGAAAAACCACCTCTTTCAGCAGCCCAGCCCTTCAGTGGAGGGTTTTCATTATTGTAATTGACTCCAGTCTCTATTTTAAAACCTCTTTAGTATGAGCCAAACTGAATCTGGGCAAGTGCTTCACTTTTTCTCTGTAACACCTTTTCAGTTATGGCAAACACCATAAATAAATCTAAGTATATTAATATTACTATTGCTGCAGACCAAACAACTGACCTCCTCCAGTAAAAAAGCCAAAATCAAGTAAGAATCAACATCTGCTTGCTAAAAATTAACTACATAAAGTATAAAACCATGTCAGCACAAGCTTCACCTTTTCCTGCCAGGCAGGAACAGAAGCTTATCCACTCTTGGGGATTCTCCATCACTCAAAAATCCTCATTTCACAATCTTGGGGATTTAGAGGATTTGAAATATCTTCATGCAGATGCATTTATTTGCATTTAGATGCATAAATTACTATGTGTTTATCCCTTCATGCCAAAGCTCTCAATTTTTCAGCCCTTTGGCCATCCTAGAGGCTACCAAGATGTGCCTGGTGATGTAGTGGTGCAGCTAATTCACCCAGCCCCAGGCTCTTACGTGGTGGTTTTGCTGATGTCCTGCACGCTCTGTAGTGGGTCTGTAGTGTCGGGGCAGCGGAGGATGCAGGGAGCAAACACAATGGCCAAGGCGTTGGCTGACATGCGGTTGGTCTCTTCTTGGAGGGCAATCCTGAAAAAAATAGAGATTAAGAGAGAAGTCAGAGGTGGAGGCACTCCACTGCACCTCTTGCACATGGTGATGAAGAGAGAAGATGATATTTCTATGGTGCAATCTTCCTTTGAGGGAGGAAGATAAAACCTCAAGACATCTCAGATATTCCCAAGGCAACAACCAGCCCCTTCTACCCAAAAACACGTCCTGTAGTGATGAGAGGCATCACAGAGCTAGAGGAACCACAAGTGACCAGAGCACAGCAGAGGTCACTCATCAACCCAACATCCTTTGGAGAAACAGCTCTACGGTCACCTCCTGGGACACAGAGCAGATGCAAAAGCCTCAGCTATTCTGGTGGGAAGGATGCCTGACCATCCTGCCTTTGCCTAAAACTGCCCAGGCCCAGCATACCTGACCAGGTGGAAGATGAGGCGCTCCAGGGTGCTGAGGTGGGTGCGGGAGAGCTGGTCAATGACCGAGTACACCCCACGCACTGTCTCCTTCCTCTCCTGGAGGCCTGTGGAGAAACCACCAGTGTTTAGGGGCAGCTTCTACTTCTTCCTCCTATTTTAAATGGTACTTCTTCACACTTAAAATTACTACTCAAAAGATGGAACTTTGGGGCTGAAATTAGCTGAACCATGATGCAAAAGCCACCAAACTGAGACCAAACTGCCTGTGGTTTCACATAAGAAACCCTTTATAGCCAAAAAGTCAGACTTTGAAACCAGGCAAATACAATTTGGCAAAACCAACTGGTTTGGCCCCAAAGAGTGAATTGAAAGTTTGGCACTAAAAGTGGCCACCATTTCCCTCTACCAAGGGAATGGGATAGTGAGGGAAGCTCCTCACCCATCACCCGCAGGAACTCCTCGTAGAGCTCAAAGGTCATGAGGGGGTTGGGCAGATCTCGGAGCCACTGCTTGAACACGCTGGCAATGACGTGGATGTTATAGTCATCTAAATTCACATTATCGATGTCTGGGGTTGGCACCAGATGAAACAAGAAGGAAAAGAACAAGAGACAATGATCAATACGAAGCCCAAGGCTGGACACGGTGACCTTTAAAGGTCCCTTTCAATGCAAACTGTTCAGTCATAAAGTATTCCAAAATAAAAAATGTTTATGTGCCTTTAATGGCAACAAATCCAGCACCTGATTTCAGCTCCACATGGTAAAATTAGAGATAAATACATTTTCCAGAACAAATAACTTCAGGTGGGACCAGGATTTCTTTTCTTACTGATTGCTAGGGTGTAAGGCAACACTTTCCCTCAATTAGAATGACTCTGTTTTGTGGATTGCTCCCCAAAACCCCATGAGTCGGTCACCTGTGTTATGGCTGCTAATGTGAAATCATTCCTTGCACAGCCCAGAGTCAGGAATGCTGAAGCATTCCGCCTTCCTCCCATCCAACTTTGCTGCTGCAAAGATTTTCCTCCCCATGCAGGATCTTTTCTCCCCTCCTCTCACCTGTATCGAGGCCTTGCCGCAGCTCCTTGATCTTGTTGGTGGATCCTGATTTCCTGTAGATGCCCTCGGTGTAGAGCCCGTGCATTTCGATGTAGTTGATGAGCTTCTCCACCAGCAGCGGCACCGCCCGCTCCTCGCTGGTCAGCCGGGACAGCTCCACGCCAAACTGCCGTGGTGAGAGCTCGGGGTCGTGCTGCACAGGAAAAGGGGAAAAGGGATTCAAATCCTTCTGCCGTGCAATGCTGGTGCAGCTTTGGATCCCATTATTCAGAGTCCTCTGGCAGATCCAGGAGACGTGCAAGTCTAATGGAGGACAGGACAGGACACAGGTTGCAATGCTAACCTGGTCTCTGGACATGCACCTGAAGGCAAGTTTGGATTTTCTTTCTTTAACCACCCCACTGTAGTTATATTCTCAGCCTGGCAGAGCCAATGCAGTTGGGCATGGTCCTCTTCCACCTCCTGTCCCTCTGGCACCATCTCCAGGGATGATTTCACCTCCCAAAGATGCACGAAGCAGAATAGGCAAATCTGAATCTTGCATGTTTAGATCAACTCAAAGCATTGACAGTTACAAAATATCAGTGAATATCAGAACAAACAAGATGCAAAAAAAAAAGAACTTGAAAAGACCTGTCTACCCCTGTCAGGAAGGGCCCTTTTGCCAGCTGCAAAAGCTCACTGTAGAGTTGATATCTGGCAAATTCAAACGTGAAGACATTCTGGATGGGAAAAGTCAAAAGATCCAATAAAATATTGACACAGATTCTCAGCCCTAGCCAAAGAAAAGTGAGATGCAACTCCGCCTTCAGCAAGACAGCAAGGCAATCACTCCTGCTTTTTTCCTTTTCCCACTCAATGTCATCCTTTCATTGATCTTGCAAACCTTAAGAGCAGATGTTTGAAAGGTCTCCATGTTGTTTCTTTCTCATGACTGGTTTGTAGCTCCCTGTCACTGAGAACAACCCTAAAAACACAAATTCACCAAACACAAAGAAACTGGAGCCTTCCTAGAAAACTTCTAACTGCCCAGTGCAAAGCTACCCATGAAGACACAGTGAACTCGCTTTCTTGGGTGCAGCACAAAAATTTCCTTGTGCAAAGAAATCACAACAGAGAAGGTGGGTCCAAGAATGTCTGAAAAAATTAATCAGAGATTTCAATGAGCTTCCCAGATTTCAGAGTACAAACACTTATGAGGCATTCCCAGCTCTTGCAGAAATAGTGTCAGAAAGGGAAAGAGTGGAAAAAGTTCTATATATATTCAAAATACAAATACATGCACATACACACACACATCTTCAATGCATATAGTCAAATTATTCCTTGGGAAAAATGGACTCACGCAGCTTTCTGGGGGCTGTGTATTATGGAGGCCGTTCTCCCCTGAGAAGCCTTCCAGGGAGCTGATAAAATTTTCCACTCATTATTATCCTGACTCTATTTCCTTCTTTTGGGCACAAAATAAGCTATTTAAAAAAAACCCACCAAATCTTGATGAATCATTATTAGCTGGGATGACCTGCTGCACTCATTCCCTGTTCCCCATACCCTTAAATCCAGTAAACAACATTTAATTCCCCTCTAAAGAGAGCAGTAAATATCCTCCACTTGCCCTTCCTCACTCAGCCGTGGCAAGCAAGGACCATTGGCGTGAGAAAAAGCCTGTATTTCCAAGAATAACCCCACATTTCCAAATCCTTAAAAGCTACAAATCCAGGGAAATTCTTCTTATTCCGTGTGGTTACAAGGCAGGGAATGACACTGCAACATCTGCTGCATGACTGGGCAGATCTACAGTGACTCATCACTGTGTAGTTCCCAAAATATCTACAAAACTCTGGTTAGAGAGACCTTGGGGATCTCTGGTCTAAGCTCCTGCTGAAAGGAGGGTTATTTCCATCATTCTATCAAGCTTTGCACCTCCAATAATTTTTGTACAAACTTGGGATCTTTGTCTCAAGGTATTTAATGAAAGCAAAGCAATGAGAGACACTTACCTTTTTGGAGCACTTGGTCGTGGTTTTAAGACAGCATTTCTTGTGACAAGCGTATTTACATACTGCAGTGGAGAAAAGGAGTGTTTAATTATCCCAAAAGCCACATTGCTGGAGAAACAAGAATTCATGTGAATTGAGTAGCACTTCTCAGAACTACCAAGTCAAAAGCATGTTGGATTTGCAGTTTCCAGAGGCAGACTCTGTATTAGATCCACTCAAAAAAATAATGGAGCCTTTAAAATTAAAGGTGCCATTATTTACATCCATGAAACATTAAACCCTCCCCCCCAAACAGATCAACTCTGTTGACACGACTGTAATCCATGAGTTGCTCTGAGCTGTCAGACACAGACACCCTCAGAGAGTGGAAATGGCATTTGCTTCCTGCACTGGGCCTGAAATGCTCCAGGGCTGATGCTACCCACCTAATCACAGAAATGGAGGAGGGATGATGGAAAAGGTTGATCCATCTCTTGTTTTTTTCCAAGAAGAGATGGATCAGGCATTTCCATCATCCCTCCTCCATTTTCCTATCTCCCCAAAAATTCACACGCCTGGAGGTCAAACAGGCAAAGCCAATGAGTTTGCCAAGGTCAGGATCCCCACTGGCATCCTAGGGACACATTTCCATACCAAACATAACCATCCTTCCTCCTGTGACAGTTAAATGTGTCTGACCCTATGGGACAGCCACACGACCTGAGGGGATAAGGTGTGTAACACAAAGATCATTAACTGTGCCAGCAAGGACTGCTGGGATGGACTCACTAGTTGACTTCAAAAACCTTAAGACCTATCCCTAAAGCTCTTCAGGTGTTAAAATCAAAATTATTTGAGCATGGGGTTGGAGGAAACAGCAGTAAACACATTCCAAAATCCCCAAACTCAGCACTGTGATAGAAGAAAAGGATCAAAGAAAGGATGCTTACATTTACAAACAGAAGCCCTGTCCATGATCCAGATCAAGGAGGAACAATATTCACAGTATGTTGGGATGCTGTATTGGGTAGCCTTGAAAATGTGACCATTGTGCTCTTCCACCTGGAGGATAGAGGTTGGGTGGTGAGAAAAGGGAGCTAGTGCTCAGTCTGCTGCAAAATGGAGACATGAACACAGATAGCTCTTTAACTTTAGCTCTTGCTTTTATTTGGTATTTTTGTTTCCTTTTCAGCCCAGCAACCCCACAGACAACCCAAACCAACATCCATCTTTTAGGGGAACCGAACCATCATGGAAGCAGGTTGGAAACTCTTTAACTGAGATTGGCAGGTCAGCTTCTTCATGTTAAGAAGGTTTTCTGTGCATCTGTTCTGGCTTTTTTTTTGGCTCTGCACCTGCACCCTTCCTAAGTACCGTTATATCCATTAGGAAAACAGGAGATGTAATGTCCTCCACCTCTTATCCCAGAGGTGTAAAACACATACTAGAAACTTATGCAGAAAACTGGAGCAAGACTATTTTGCTCTCAGCCCTTTTCTAACAACCCTAGACGTTACATGCATGTCGTGGCTGATGAGGGACGTGTTTTCAGAGCCAATCCAAGTGATCCTTGATCAAGCAGAGCAAATCCACCTCGAACGTTTTTCTAACGTCCTTTCAGGGCTGATGTTCAGATCTCAGACCACAAGCTAGTCTCTTGACGTGTCAGAAGCTAGTCTCTTGACATTCTGGCCCCAAGGACATTGATTTTTTTAATGTGCAGGCTTAACTCACCACATCTGCTTCCTTTTTTCTTCTCTTTTTTCGTTCAATTTTTGGCACCTGGTGAGGGAAAGAGATTTAACTCAATTTTTGGGCAATTTTGCCAAGTAAAGAGTACAGAGGGCTCATATCTAACATTGTCCAGTGCCTCCCACCCCCATCCTCCAGTGCACCTGCAGCCTTAGAAGAGTCACTCTAGAAAATTCTCCTATGGATCACTCCAGTTTTGGAATTTCCCTGGACAGCTCTTCCTATCTTCATCTTGGAGCTGGGAGTAGCTGCTGCTCCAGCTCTGACCCCAGCAGCAGTGACCCAAGGGAATACTATGCTCAGCCTGCTCAGAAGAAAACCTGTCTGGAGAGGACTCGAAGCAGAAGAGCCAGGAAATGGGATATTTGTAAAATACACACCATCTCTCAAGCCTAGCCTCAGATCCCTTGATCGGCCTCGAGGACAACATGGAGCAGGAAGTGAGATCAGGTCTGTGATACAGTCAGGCTCTTACTGCTCTAAGAATGGTACCTGACCTGAACCACTGCCCACATCCCCTTCTCCTGCAACCCAGCCCATAGTGACGTGTATGGTCACTTGGGAAGTGGTCAGGAGACCTGAGAGTGTGCACCTCTTCCAGAGTCCCTCAAAGTTTGAACAAACCCCCCAGAATTAAAGAAGCACCACAAGCTGCCTTTCCAACCAACCACAGCTGGTGGCAGCTGTGCCCTGGAGATAACATCTAATCCTTGGCATTGACAAGCCCAGCTCAGCCCAGCGTGATCTGGGGTTGGCTGAGCCCAGTGACACACAACCAGTGAGTCACACCTTGCCTTGTCCAGCTCAGCTTAAAGCAGAGAACACAAAAGAGGGTCCCAGGAGTCTACAGTCACAACCCCAGAGAAACATAGTTCCTAAACCTTCAAGGGAGTTTAAGAAAAGTTCTGAGTACCTTCCCTGCAGTGTAGTCCAGGGGTTTGTACTCTATCATATATTCATCCAGGAAGACTTTGAAGGTATTGACCCAGACTTTAACTGGAGACTCACTCCAGTCCCTCTGTTCATGCCTCATGGTCTTCTCCAGAATCTGCTCGAATAAGGCATAGAGGTCCTTGTAGCGGATGCTTTTCCCATCGTCCATCTTTTAAGGAAACAGAAGCAAAAATAAAAGGGATTTTTATACAGCCCAGATTTTTCTGGAGAGCTTTTCTTCTCCAGACAATTACTTCAGCCTCACTGACTTCCAGCTGCTTGGGGAAAGTCCAAGTATGATAAAGAGAAGGGAAAAAGGATTAGACATGTCCATGACTAGCAAAGGTAACACAAAGGTTTCCAGGCACTTTGGGTGACAAATTGGAGTTTATTGACTTTTTGTCATCTCCCCTTTGGCTGGGAGCAAAGCTGTAATGAGGATCAGGAATGTACACCCAATATATCCTGAGAGCTGGCTCATGAGGAAGAGTTAGTCCAAACTTAATCATGGGACTACAAAGGAAGCACATCCATTCCTTGGGAGGAGCAAACCAGAAATGGAGGGCTTGGCAACACTTGTACCACCAGGAGGACCCAGAATATCCCATTTCTCCTGGAGGTGGAGAAAATCTGGTCACTTACCGCCAATGCTGAGGAGTAAAAACTGAAGATGTTTTGTCGGAATTCCTTCAGTGCTTTCTTGAACACGACATCCACCAGCGTGTCCTTCTTGCTATCCTCATTGTCCAGTTCATTCATCTGGGAAAACAAGGGGGTTTTTGCACCCATGTCTCTTTTGGTGCAGCAGAGCTGGTGTGAGATGAAGCAGCACTAAGAAGCGGCTGCTCCACCATGATCACCAGGTGGTTTCTCCTCCATGAAAATCAGAAACTTCTCTAGACCTGCCCTGACACCCTTAGATGAATTATTAGCATTGCCACAACTACCCACAGGATCATTTTTACTTTATTGCTTTATTGCCTCCGTGTGTCTCTGTGCTGATGTAAGGAGCAGGAGGGCAGGAGTTACCTTTTTCAGGAGAAACTCATCCATGCTCTTCAGGTCGCTGGCACTGGTTATGATTTGCAGGGAGTCGTTTTGCCACTGCACAGGTTCCAGAGCCACGTTGCTGATCTTGACGCTGCGCTTGCGCTTCACTTTGGGAGAGGGCTCCTTGTTCTCCTTAAACTCCCGCCGGTAGATGCCTGACAGCTCAGGACTCCGTGGGGGGGTCAGGTGATGAGGACCCAACTCTGCTGGTGACAAATGAAAAGAGGAAAAGAGATTAAAGAGATTGAGGAGTAGATGAAAAATAATTGCCACCGGAAAACAGGGAGATAGGCATTGGAATAAAGCTGTGGAGGAGAAAAGCACAGTGTAGAACTCACAGGAAGATTAAATGTCATTTCTACTTTGTTAGGTTATTTCCTCCCTCAAGAGAGGAAACATCTGTCCATGTCCAGATGGTGTCTGGAAAGATTAGTGACATGGAATTCCTTGAGCTCCATGATGGATCTCACCCTCTAACCTACTTGCCATCGCTCTGGCTTGACACCACCCACGAATTAAGACATAAACCAGCATGGATATATCCCAATTTCCCAACTCAGTTTCTCTCTCCTTACAACTGGTCCCATGTCTCCCCACCACGTACCTTCACCAAGCTGCAAGCCAGGAATGGCCTCCCTGCCAGGGGCTTCCTCTTCTGCATACAGCTCCAGCAGCTCAGACTGGGTAGCGAGCTTCTCCCGGGGGGTCTTCTTGTCCCCTTGTTTTCCCTTCACCCAAAACCTCATCTTGGCTCGTTGAGGCCTGGAAAAAAGTCATGGAAAGAAGAACTGCCTTAACTAGGAAAGGTCTTGCTACCCAAAACTATCTCAGTCTTCTGGTCCCTCCTGAGAAGTTAAATCCACGCATTTTCTACCAGGGAAACGTGGCTACTCATCCTCAGCAAAGGCAAGAAACTTCAGTTTCATGCATGGGATTGGGTGGTTTGTGACAGGACATGTGGCCCATATCACCAAAACTTAATCGTGGTGTGAGCCAGACCTGATTGGGCCTGTCCATGGTTATGTAGAAAAGGTGGGATGGGTAACTCAGGCTGCAGGTGGAGCTCCAAAGGAGCCTGGGTGGCTCAGTAAGGTGTTGGGAGAGCAAGAGGGACACAGGAAGGACTTGTCTGCCATCTCCAGCCATGATTCCTACCTCCCATCTGGAATCAGACTCTTCTGTGTGGCCACCAGCTTTCCAATCTCCCCCTGGGACATGGTTTTGTGCAGTTTGGCCTGGCCTTCCCCCGAGGTGAATCGCTGCACCGTCTGTAACGATTCCAAGCATGAAGCATTTAAAAATGAGACGGCTCATGGGATATCAGGTAATTTTTTTTTCCCTATCAAAAATCAGCTATTTCATCTCCTATGTCTTTTTTTCTATTTGCTGACAGGTGAAAACCTACAGTCCTGATGAGCCCCTAGAGAACTATTTTAATGACTCCTAATAAAGAGAAGCATTTCCCTTGCTCCAGTTCTTCAACCAGGTCCAACCTCCTTTTTCCTTGAGCAATCCATGATGAAAATCAGTTTGCAGCAAGCCATGGGTCCTTATCACTCAGCCTGCACAGCTTGTCCACTATCTTCATCCAGACATTCCAGCTCTCTACCCAGAGTGTCCCATTAACCACAGTGAAGTGATTCTCCAAGGGAACTCCAACTGTTGCTGAGCACTTTACAGAAAAAAGACCAAAGTCTTTGTGCCAAGGACACACCAAAAGGAACCCTTTAATGAAGAAATGTTGCAGCTTTAACAGAAAATATCTCCACCTTTGCCATCATTTAAAATGCCCTTGGATCATTTTTAAGGGTGGGATGAATTTGCAGTAATTCAACCTAACAGGATCCCATGAAGTAGCCTAGAAATAGACTTGCCATATTTTAAAAATACCCAAATTTTTATTCTATTTTCAAACTGCAGCTGTGATCTGGGAGCTGGACTCCTGGAGGGGAAACTTTCAGCATGAGGAAAGTGGAGAATCAGGTTGTATGGAAGGATTTGGGAGATGATGGTCGAATATCTCCTGTAGCTTTCCTATCACCCCAATTTTTCAACCGAATGCTCTATATTTTAAAGCAATTATTTTCCTTCTGTTAAAATATTTAAGTAAAAGTCTATAAGAAGTATGGAATTTTACTGCAGGGGGAGTCACATTTGCCATATTTACTCTTTTTCCATGTTTTATTTCTCCTTCCCCCAGACTAATATCTCTTGCAGCCAGGAGATGGCAGCATGCAAGGCAAAATTACCACTGGGAAACCCAGGAACTGCCTAAACCATGAAAGAGATTTTGTTCCTGTCATTCTTACATTTAGGTGATGACCACACAGAAATTGTGGATGGATACTGGGAAAAAAGGAATTCAAAACCTATAAAAGTGATCTCCATCCAGCCCAAACCTACTACTTGTTTTAAAAATGATCTTTTCCCCCCAAAATATGGTTTTGTTCTTGAGTAATTTCAACCTTTTGAGTTTCCAGCTTTAGTAAATAAAGACTAAAAGGCATTTTTGGCACAAGATCTTCTGTTTGCGGTTTTCTGACAGGAAATTCTGAAGGGAAAGGATGGGAAACCTTCTCAGATGTCAAGATGAGCATCTGCACCAGAAAATACCTGCTAGGGAACACCACAAAGCATCATGAGGGCAAATGGCAATAACTGGGGGTTTGAAGTTGTCTTCTGGATGAGGAAGGGACCAAGTATTTTTCCTCTGACAGAATAACCTGTGTTTCACCCATCCATAAGGTAACTATGGTCAAGGGACTTATCCCAGGAGGCAGCAGTCCTGTATGCTGCATAGAAAAACTTCCTGAAGCTCCCTCTGAATGGCTTAGGACAAGAGATCTTCTTTCATTGCTGGCTCTTCAGCTGTACTTGGGATCAGCTGGTGGCAGGTACTTGGACTCATGTTTGTAAATTCATGGCTTTAGTGTGGCAGGTGGAGCAAAATAACTGGTTCATTATCCAGGTCCCACTCTCTAAGGATGTCTCCAGAAGGTATTTCTGGTGTGATTCCCCTAGCCAAGGCTTTCCATTTATGCAGCTGCTGCAGAAAAGCTCTCCAGGCTTAGGTGCCAAACAGAAGCGATGTTAACATGTGCTGACAAGAACAGCCAGGAGCTGTTCCTCTCACTTGTGTCTCACTGCAAGGTAGGTTAATCCTTGTCTAATCATCAGCCAAAAACTTGAATCTTGGTCTTGTCAGGAAGCCCTTAATCTTTAAAGAACCTCGGAGTCAACCGTACCTGCAGCAGCCACCTCATGTACTGGTGCCCCATGGGTTTCAGCTCTGGCTGCAGATGCTTTGGGTGTTTGATGTTCTGGGATACCCTGAATGGGGGTCAGGAGCATTGGATTCTAGTGGGCCTCTACTCACGAGCTGGGGCACACAATCAGTGACTTGATGACCAAGAAAAAAAATGGGCAAAGCAGGCAGTGCAGCTGGTTACCCATCACATGCTCGGCTCCATGGGCTGCACGCAATCTCTCGTTCATCCAGCCAGCAGCGCCGGCTGCTGGGCAGGCCATGGAAAGAGGCTGCTTTGGAAAGTCAGAGCTGGAGGCGGGAGCTGTGTGAAGGAGCTGCTCACTGGCATGGGAACCATGCACATGGCAGCTGCCAGACTCGCCTTCATGTGACTATCACAAGACACAACCAAAGTGTCTGCACAGACATCAACCTCTGTACCTTTGTGTTTCTAACCCAAACAGCCCAAGAGGCACCAGTCCAGCTTTATCACAGGCTTCTCTGCCATCTGCAACACCCAACTGGGCTCTGCTAATAAATACGAATAAATAGTCTCTGAATTTTGCTACTTGTGATGATCCTGACTCAAAAAGCCCCATGCCAAAGGGCTGGTCCCAAACCTGCAATACAAAATACAGATGGAAACACTGGACACATTGTCAGGACATACAGACAGAGGGTAGCGCGGAGCACATCACATCAGGGGTAGTGTTGGCCTAGAGAGCAGAGCTTACCACACCAGGGGTGAAAGTCTTGGCCAACAGTTAGAGCCAGGGCTGGAGAACAGAGGAGAAGAGGGACAGGAGAGAGGTGACACCTACTGCTACTTGCATGCGGTGAGAGCTGTTAAATCAGGTGAGCAGAGTCCCAAGGAGCACTTCCAAGGAGTAAAGTGACCCAGGATGCTCCCAAAGATGGAGCTTGCCAAGCACCAGCACAGCACTTTTCACACCCCAGAGGGAATGATTCCTACAGCTACAATTCCCTTTGTACCTGGGCAGCCTCCAGGAGCACAGCGAGGTACTCTAGGTATGGGCACGGGGGGCCATGGTTTGGTGGTGAACAAGGCGGTGCTGGGTTTGTGGTTGGACTTAGCAAACTCAGAGATCTTTTCCAACTTAAATGTTCCTACAATTCTATGTTTAAAAGTACGTTTTAATACACAGAATTCTCCCTTTCCCAATCCACAAGCAGGGACTTACATAAAGGTGCAGCCAAGTTATCTCAGTCCACAGAGATGTGTCTTTCAATCAAGTTTTGAGTATTCCTGTCTCAACCCCCTAGAAAACTTATCAATAGCAGGTTTAAAAAATATAAGGAATTTGTAAATCTCTGCCCTCTTCCAGTGAGGAAATTAGCCTGGAAAAAATTATCATTTATAATAAGAACTGCTAAAAGAAAAGTAATGAAAAGCCTTCCTTGGCCTCCTGCTTTTCTTGGAAAAGCAGCTTTTAGGATCTCACAGGATGTTTGCCAGACCCACAGTATTGCTGTGGCACAAAATAAATCTCTGGCTTTGGGTTTCATGCTTTTCTTTGGTTTTATACTCAGCTCCACATCCTGTACTGCAGCTGGAGGAGAGGAAGATGGCAGCCCTACCTAGCACTCCACCCAAACTGTCACAGCAGGACATGATTCCTGGTGTTTCCCTACACTCCTATGGGGACATCTCCACCACCTCAGGAAAAAAATTATGAACAGGTTGGAATCTGTTGGCCTCTTCCACTCCTGAAACTTCTCGGTTTGTGATTTTCCAAAAGCAGCTTATGTGGGTGGGAGATTAGGCCTGAGATGTAAAAGTTCACTGTGCTGGCTCCTGTCAGACCTGCTAAAGGACACTCATCACTTCTTGGAAAAAAACACTTAGGTTGGCTATCTTTGTCTTAAACCCACTATTTCACTCTCACTTAATTTTCATTGTCCAATTTCCATGGTTTTGCTTTCTCTGAGCTGCTGTCTGCCAGCATCACTCTGATAATTGAGGACCAAATCATCACTGGATATTGTGGCTAAGGATAAAAAATCAAAAGTAAAAGAAGCTTCAGGATTTATATATTTTTTTTGTCTGTTGCTTTTTGGACAACATTTACTTCAATTTTTTTTACAGATCTAAAAAATTTTTAGATCAAAATGTTCCAAGGAGAGGATTGAGTTTAAAGCCCCCAAACCAGGTAATTGTGCAATACAATTTGTAATGCTCCAGGAAAACTATGAAACTATGGGAAGTGTGGTGGATGTTTAATCAACCCAAGAGCAACAAATAGAGTTTGGATGGAGCTCTGAGAACCCTGGTTTAGTGGAAGATGTCCCTGCCCAAGGCAGGGGGTTGGAATTGAGATTGAAAGTCTCTTCCAATCCAAACCATTCTGTGATTTTGTGATTCCATGTTTTTGCCTCTGTTTCTGCTGTGTTTGCCAAATTTACCCATTTACAGCATCCTTGGGAGTGGGAAAAGAAGCAGTGGAGGGATGAGTGCAGCTAAGGTTAGCAAAGAAAGGCTCCCTCATTTTCATGTCCCCACCACATCGGACACAATTACCATTTCGGAGTCACTGTAACAGGCCTGCCCCAGGCGGGCCTGCACCGCCTCGGCGTGAGGAGGGTGCTCAGAGGAGAGAAGGAACTCAAAAGTGCCATCGTAATCCTCTTCCTCCGTATCCCCCTCCCCATCAGCAAAAGTACCTCTAGTCAAGAAATCGGAGCGCGTCCGCGCCATGCGGGCTTTCTTTTTATGGCTCGGTCTGGGCACCTGCTTGACCAAAGTATAAAACAAAACAAAACAAAACAAAACGAAAAGAAGGGTTTTAAAGTAAAAAGGAGACTCTACCCATGTAGCCTTAAGACATCTCTGAGTGCCACTGCACCCCATGGAGGGCATGCAGTATTATGTCTAGTGAAAACAGCAAAGGACCAGGAAGAACAAAAACTAAGACAGGACGGTGAAAATGGACAATCATGGGTGTTACTCAAACGGATGTTAAACCAAACCAAGACAAGACGGCGTTGGACAGTGTTTGCCATCAGGATCACAGGATCCTTTTATCCAGAGCTGCTACAAATTATTCCTGCAGGGCTTTTTATTTTAAGAGAAGGTGTGGAGGTTACTGTGCTGTCATATCCCCCTTCCCTACCCATGTCTAGCAGCCCTTGTGCTTCAGAGTTCACTTCTTTGAAGCTTTTGAGGGAAACCTGGCAAAATAAATTGTTTCCCCCTTTTCAATAAGTTTTGTTTTCCTTTTCATGGAAAGAGAAAATAAACAAGTCACAACTCACCTCGCCTCTGCCAGACCCCGGCATCTTAAACGGCTTCCGTGCTAGTTCACCCTTGGAAAGGCACTGATGATTTGCCTCTCTGCTGAAACACAGCAGAACAGAGATCTGTCATCCTCTCCCAAAAGCCTTCCCACCACGCTAGCCCAGCTCCTGGGAGCACACAGTCCAAACAGTCAAGACTAAATTGCAAGTCTGAGGTCAAGGGGTTTCAGAATTGCTTGGAATTCTTCAGGATTGGATTTAATAACACAAGGCAAGAAGAGAAAACATTCTTCCTGTCAACTTTATACAGCAAGGTGGTTATGGATTGTACCTTTGTACTTTGAGATTCTCAAATGTGACTATTCTGTTGCAGAGCAAAAGTTAAAATATAGCAATTCTTAATGTCTTTTTCTTCCTGTTGCTTTTTCACGTTGCGCATGAACCAGGAAAATAAATTTTCAACAGGAATCTTCTCCTGTCATAACAACACAGAAACCACAAGACTACTACACTTTGAGGTACCTTGAGTTACCAAAAGTCATTCACTGGGAGCTTTTGCCTTGGAAAGGGTGCAGCAGGACTTAGGAGGGGGGTGATTTATATCCTTTTTGAGCTACTCAGCCAAAACCACCCCAAAATTAGGCAAGGCACCTCAAGCAACACAAAAAAGTGGGAGCAAACGTTGTCCCAAGATCTTGCTGCCATCTCCAGACTCTGGAGCAGCCCAAGGTTAAGCGATGTGTTGGATCTGAGCAACTGCTAAGTCCATTACAGGTGTCATAAATTACATATGTCAATGATACAGTCTCCAAAGAGCATTCACTCCCAAACTCTCTCTGGAGAGCTGGTGTTTTTTCATCTGCAATGGTCACATGTCCACATGACTTTGCTGGATGTATTAATTCTATGGTAAACAAGGAAAATCCTGGAATTTTTTGCCTCATTGAGTAATTTCTATTCCAATTACCCAAAATCCTTACCCAAAATAACTTATTCGTTTTTTACTTTGAGAAATAAACTTCCATCCCTGTTCATATAGGGTAAATAATAACAGTATCGAGCCTGTTTATTGACTCTTTTCACCTGCTAATGTCCATGATTACCTCCCCCGGATTACATAACATTGTAAGAGACTGAGAAATCATATTCCAGGTCTTCTTCCTTTCCCTCTGATCTCTGTCTCCTCATTGCTAGAAGATCAAGAACCCTTTGTTTAACTATGAGGTTTATCCAGACTCCAGAAACAAAGTTCCAGATACTTTGTACAAAACGGTCCCTAGCAGATGAAAGAGACAATGAAGAAAGCCTATGGAGATAGCCTAAGGAGAAAGCCTATGGAGATAGCCTAAGGAGAAAGCCTAGGAGAAAGCCCACAATGTCTTTACTCACTGGAGGCCGAAGGGATTGTCTTTTGGTGTGAAAAACATGGAGCTTGCTCTCGTCTCCTCAGTGGCCTGGCTGGGCATCCGCGGTTGCCGGAGGCGCTCTGTCCTTGAGAAATGGCTGCCCGGGTGGTCCTTGGGGTCCAGAGCTGCTTTGGAATGGCAGCGGGGCTCCAGACCTTCTCTTCGCTCCACAAACATGCTGACAGGTCGGTCCCTGGGGGCACTGTGGGCTGGAGAGCTGGCCCTGGTCCCAACAGTGAGACCCTTGATGTCCACTGCTGAGGCTGGAGCCATGCCTGGGCTGGGGCTGTGCTCCCCTCTGCTCTGGGCATGCAGGATGAGGACTGACTGAGGCCGGCTGTCTGCTTTTTTGGCTGGTTTGAGGGAAGGGTCCTTCATTCTGCTCTGCTCTGTCCTCTGCAAGGCCTCAACCCTCCCTTGCTGCTCGAAGGCTTTGCGTTGTCTCTCCAGAATTTCCTTCTGCTGACGAATCTGCTCCATCATCTCCCTCTCATTTTGCAGCTGAAGCTGCTTTTGCCGTTCCTCTTTCTCCACGTTGAGCTTTTCCAGTCTCTTGATGACAGAACCTGGAGAAAGGGCCCGTGCTGCTGTCACTGTCCCACGTTCCTCTCTCTTGGTAGAGGGTTTATCCTCTTCCTCATCTTCTCTCAAGGCTTTGCCCTGGTCTGGCTCAGAGTCCTTCCTGGCCTTGGAGAAGGTAACTGTCCTTTCCTCTTTTTCCACTGCTTTATTCCTCAGGTTATTCTCCACCATCTTCACATTGTCTTGTGGTGGAACGTAGAAAGTCGGGAGGTTGCTGGAAAGGAGGGTTTCTCTTGGATGAGCCTTTATAACATTCTGGGGGCCACTCACCCCACGCTCCTTCCTGGTGAGGTTATTGGGCAGCACTGTGTCTGCCTGGGTCTGTCTGCAGCTGGGCAAATCATTGTTCCCATCTGCTGCACAGAAAGGCTTCTCCTGCAGCTGAGCCTGGGGACTGCTGGGCAGGGACTCCGTGGAAAATGACTGTGCATCATGATCGTCTACGACTGAGGAAATGAGTTTATTACTTGAGGTATCTTCACTGCTTAACAACTCGAAGCTCCCTTGAGAGCTCTCGCTCTCTGGGGTTCCCTGAGGGGAGTGCAATGCCTCGGACACCAGCTCCGTGGACCAGAGCTGCTCCTCTGAAGGTGACAGCCCACCTGTGGAACGGACCTTGAGCAGCTCCAAGCTGAATTTCGCCTGTTCCAGCTCCCGCATCCTCCGGCTTTCCCTCTTTGCACGAACCACTTTTTTCTGGTTGAGATCCTCCAGCGACTTGGGCCTCTCTCTCACGATGATCTCCTCCTTGGTGTCCATCCCACTCTGGCTGCTGGCTCTCTCATGCCTTTTGTACAGGGAGGTATCCAGTGGGTCCATGTGATTCACCCGATTATTCTCCATCAGTGATATATGTTGTTCTACAGCTCTCACTCGCTCTTCAAATGAGCTGTCCTCCCACTTAGATGGGTCAGAGCCCTTAATTTCCAAAACATCTGCTTCCAGTCCATCCTCTTCTCTACTTGCCAGGCCATTCTCCAGCTGCATCTTTTTTAACTGCTGCTCTTTCAAAGCTCTAAACCTGGAAGAAAGCAGAAAACCAGGATATTCAGCCCTATGCCCACTCAGGACCCTTCAAGGCACTGCACTAGCAGCGTCTTATTACCACCACCACCACCACCTCACCACCACCAGCATCTCCAACGACCCCGCTTGCACATCTGGTGCAAGACAAGGCAAGGCACGTTTGGTTTTCAACCTTCTTCTCCTCTGCCACCTCTGCTACTGAAGGGCTGCCCCAACGCACCTGAAAGTTCCCCTCGTGCCGATGGCAGCAGGTCCAGACTCCATCCCTGGTCTAGATCCTTCACAAGCTGTTGGAGCCAGAAAAGCTTAACCCATCACACCCCCTTGGTTTCTCCATCTTCACCATCCTGCCCAGACTGCATCTGGAACAACTAGCAGGGATTTCTGCCTGGCACCAAGAGCTCTCTGCAGCTCCCAAATGTTCCAAGTGACCTTAAGGTGCTCCACACCTTGCAGGCAGCACTGCTGGAGAGTGAATTGTGACTTGCCTCCCAGCCAGAAAGCCAAGGCATGGCTGGAAAGTCTGTGCCCTCCACAGCAGCTGTCTCCAGTATCCCTTGTCCTTGTGAGCCAGCGCAGCAACCAGATTGGTGAGGCAATCTGAGTTAAAAATAGGCTACTTAAACTGGTGCTGCTGCCAAGGGGGGAAAAAAAACCCTTGCAAGTATTTACGGCCTTGGCTTTACACTGCCTACGTGATCCAACCTGAAATAGGCTCTGCTTATTTCAAGAGCAGGACATGAGCTAAAAAGCCGAAAGCGTGGGCAAACAAAGGACCAGGACAGGTCGGGAGAGGGTCATGGGTGCTACGAGGGGACACTGCCCTGTGTAGTGCCCTGATTCACACCAACCACCTTCCCACCAAAAAACATTTTCCTCTTTACCCGAGGCCAACAGTGTTACCTTTGCCGTGCCAAATACCCCCGGCACGCCGCCTGCAGGCACACGGCTCTGCTCCTGCGGGCTGTGTACGCCTGCCGGCTACGGTGTCCCCGCCAGGCTGCCTGGATGCTGGTGGCTGCGGCGTGCCGGCGCCTGGTGTGCTCCCGCCAGCAGCTCTGGACGAGATGAGCTGCAAACTGCATCTGCAGGAACCTCCGCCGCTCCACGAAGCCTCGCCAGTGGCTCTGCAGGATGACAGCGGCTTTGCTGAGAACCAGAGGGTCTGGGGATGGTTTGCCTTTTTTTCGGCTCTGGTAGCCACGCCAAAATCTCTGCAAACACAGCGGGGAGATTCCTTGTAACAGGTGTTGTGAGAAGATGGGACAGCACCTGCCCTTCATGCAGCCTCTCCAGCTCCCCCCCACTGCCAATTTGCACTGGAATGCAGCACGCACCTGTATGCTGATGGCCGCATGCCGCAGGCTCAGGAACTGCCTCCTGCAGAGCAGGCTGCGGAACCAGCGCTGCAGCAGCGTGATCCTCCGCAGCACCTCCTGGTGCAGCAGGTCTTGCAGAAGCTGCCGCTCCCGTTCCTTCATGAAAACCTGGACAAAACAACCCAAAAAACACTAGCATGGAAAGCTTCCCAGAGCACAAGTCAAATGATTTAATCCTCCTGGTTTCTATGTCCTGGATCCTCCCAGGAAAGTTGAGGAGCTGATTTTTCTGAAGGCACTTCTAACAGGTTTCCCAGCAGCCTGTGACTGTCTAAGCTCTGAATTACAGAGCTTTCCCATCAGGGAAGGCAAAATGAGGACCATCATATCAAGCTAAGTGTACACACACCCAGAGATTTTGGAGGATATGAGTTTTTCGAGGCTGCCTCATTACAATCAATAACAAAACAATATTATTCCTTACTCTTTAAGTTAATAATATTAAAAGTTTCGTTTAAATCATTGATTTTTGGAAAACAGAAGAAAAATAGTATCATTGAGTAAAACCATATATAGATATTAATTTATCAGACAGAAATACAGGCAAACGTTGTATTTGTGTCTTAAAGGCTGAGCTGGGGATGAACATTTACCATTGTTCTTCCAACTTGGTAATTGTCTGGAACAAGTTTTATCTTCCGGAAGAAATCCTGGATATTGTGCTTAGATGGGCTGATCCCTTGTGGCAAAAGGACATGGAAATGGTCCACAAAATCCTGAGAAGGAAAAAAAAAAAAGCAGCACCAAGATTTGGTTAGTTGGGTCCTACTGCTTCTTTCTCCCATAAATAACAGATTTGCTCCGGTGGCCACATGAAACGGGACCTCTGGAGTAAGCAGAAGGACAGATAACATTTTATGCACTGGGGAGCACCAAGTTTCATCCAACATTTGTGGTTTGATGGGAAAGACATCAAAGCAGGCACCCAGCAAGGTTCAAATGCTTTTGAGTGTGGGAGGAGAGGTTCTGCAGGAGCCACAGGGTCAGTCCCAAGCAAATAAATGCTCCACATCCCCAGCAAGGGCCACGATGGAAGGAAGATACCAACATCTGTAAAACATCTCTCAGATGCTCCAGCCATTGCTGCTGTGAGGATTCAGAATGAAAGAGGTACAAGAGGATAGATCCTCCCAAGCAAGGTTGGGAGCCCTGCTTCTAGCAAAAAAATTTTGAGCATTTTTCTTTTTCTAAACAGCTGCTGTGCAGAACATGACATCTGCTCCAAAGCAGCCGCTAGCAGGAAACCAATCAGCAAAGCATGAAAGGACTGACATGTACACAAAACCTGGCAAACATATGGAAAAGAAGAAAACAGGAAAAGCTGGCTAATTCTAGCAGTTCAGAGGATGCCAATCACCCTCCTGATGGGACACAGCCAACACAACAGGACAAACACTCCTCCCAGTAATTCCAGATGCAGAAGAGAACGTGCAAATCAGACACTATTCCCCAAAGGGGAATCCATGTTGCAAAAAAGTACTGGTTTTGCTCAAAAATCATGGTGCAGGGGCTCACAGCCCTCCCTGAAATCTAGATTGGCTCATAGGCAGAGAACAGCCTGTTACATCCACTGCCTTCTAAAAGCTAGAAATTAATTACCCTGATAAAAAATGAACCAGCAACACTCAGACAACTCTGCTAATGATGCTAAAGGTGAAGGAAGACAAAGCCTGCTGTACTCAACCTGGAAGGAGTATTTGCAGCTGTATCCTGACTGGCGAATGCGCACGGTCTCCAGCATCCCCGTGTAGCGCAGCTGCCGGAGCACCAGGCTGTCATTGAACCGCAGGGGCAGCTGCAAGGAGAAAACCAGACCAAGGATGAGCAAATATTTCCTTTCACTGAAGCTTTTAAGTGCATGGATGGGTAAAGAGTTCAGCAGATGCAGCACATGTGCGTGACACACACATTGTCAGTGATGCTACAGGAGGGAGGGAATGTGGGTCCCCAGGAACTGAACTAATCCCACTAGGATCAAATCTTGTTTGCTTCTGAGAATTTCAAACAGTTAACTAGAGAAATAAAGCCATAAAAAAAGATTTTTTGTATTTGAATTGAATAAGACCTTCCCCCCAAGGGCGCAGTTAATGGGTAAGATGTCGAGCAGCTAAATAATCTCCAATACAAAAAGCTTCATCTTTAAATGCCTGGGTAAAACTCCGAAGGATTAACCCACAAAGCATCTCCACATTGTGAACAGTGGGTCCTCCTTTACATACAATTATGTAAAGTCAAATTTACAAAATATGAGTCATTGTGATCAATGTAGTATATTCTAAAAGTATCTGCTTTTACTTATGGAAACTTTATTTTAAGGAAGCTTTAGGACTCAGACCCAGCACAAGTGAATTCATGGTTCTATAAATCTCTCTTATGGCTAGTCAGAAGCCTCAAAGTAGTCAAATTCATTTATCAAAGTCAATATATTTTTCATATAAATTAAAATAGTATATTTGCATACATAGGTTTCTACAAATATAAAAGCCAGTGCAGTTTATCAAGAATGACACCTGATAATCCATGCTTCCCCTTGCTCAAATCTTCTAAATCCAACTCCATTTGAGGATTTGTTTCCTATCTAACTCCCTGTAAAATTGGACAAAAGATTCTCAAGCTGATTTCTAGCAGGACTGCTTTCACAGGACGGCATTTACCTTCTCGGCGTTGGATCGGATGCACTTGACAAAATATGGCTCTGCCTGGCCAAGGGTCTCCATCAGTTTGTTGAGGGATGCCTGCAACAGAGGAGACAAAGGGAAGGGAGAGGAGACCACAGTGGATAATGAAAACCCAAATGTTTAAATCACAAACCAACATAAACTGGAATTAATTATGAGTAAATGAGGCACATGGGAAATTATTCCCCCAACTGAGTGTTTTAGCACAAGCAACTTGGCTGATTTTGCCTTTGCCCTCAACAAAGAAACCAAAGATAAATATAATGCTGGGCTGGATTTTCAGATCTCTAGCTCCCCTGGAGCCCAAATCCTCATGCCACTCCACATCACAAACCTCTTCCAGCCATAAGTGGGAGCTCCAAGACAAAAATCTACACCTGGCGCCACCACCCACTGATGCTTTTTAAACACAAATCAAATTTTCCTTTATCAAAAGTGACTCCAGGCAGGATTTGCTCCTGACTTTTAATTGTCAAAACTTTACTGTTGGCCTAAAAATGAATTGTTTTTAATGAAAGCTTTGCCAAGGGAAAATCGTAAATTCACAATAATTTCTGAAGCCTGCAAGTGTGAACACTTCAGAGGTTGTTTCTAGAGAAGAACTTCAGCGCTGGCATGTTCCTGACTAAAGGATCACTTGAGAATCGAGCAGTTTCCTGGTTCCATTTTACTATTTCCCCTTATTTATTCATCACCATTAAAAGTCTCTCCCATAAAAAGGAATTTACATTGGCATCACTCTACAGCCAGCTGCTCCAGTGGGATGTCATGCTCAGTTATCCCCTCACCTTGCAAACCTTTGACTTTTTGGGATGAATCACAAGCTCTTGGAATAAAACCAGGCTGAAAACCAGAGTGTGCCGGGTCCATTGCTGCTGGCCAGGCTCCTCAGCCACATTTTTTTTGCTGTATATTTTTGGGTCTATCTAATTGCTGAGCACATTACAAACATGACATTGGTAAGGTGCTACAGAGTTGATTACTCTTGATTTTAATAGAGTTTAAAACTCTCTCATGTAAAGGATATTCTGTCACATTTACAATAAGCAGAGTTATAAATTTTGGAATAGAGGAGTTAATAAACTGGTGTGGTATTACAAAGAAGCATTTTGCCCACTGCTCACAGGAAGCCTTTTTTTCCTTCTGCTCACTTCAAAGACATCTTTTTGGGAAGCCTTTCATGTTTAGAAAAATTGATTCACATCCAGAATTTTGGAAGGAGCAAAGGATAGATCTCAGGCACATGGGATGCAGCTGTGTTAGGTACATTAACTTCATGCAAATATTGCTTCTCCTGTCCCAGGAAGCAGCAGGAATGCCATGATGTGGCATGCTCCTGCTTTTTTAAAAATCTGAAATTACTCTTTTTTACACAAAAGAAGCCTATTGGGTGCTTTCAATCAGCTGCAGCATCCAACAGTGCCCCCACGGGCTGGTGGGAGGGAAAGGGGGTACCCCAGGGACACAACCCCTTTGCTAAAAGCCCAGCAAGCAGAGTGCTCCAGTGCTGGAAATGGTGGGAATGGGATGTGCTGGACCCGTAGGAAGGGGCATTTCCATTCCCTCAGCACCATCCTGTGTGAGGCAGATGGTCCAGGCACCCTCAGCCATCTGGTGGTTGGGAATCCTCAAAGGACGTGTGAGGTCACTGGATTAACCCTGGACCCGTCTCCTTTGTCTCTCTGCCAGTAAAACTTTCCAGCCACCCACTCCTTCACCACCTGCACTCAGCCTTTCAGGAACTGTTCCATCCCTCTCTCCAGGGCACCACCTCATGTGGGTTAAAGTGGATGTGGGTTAAAGGGGAGCTCTACAGTTTTAGGTATGGGTGGTTCAGCTTTCCATCGTGACAGCCATCCCTGCTCAGGGGATCCTGCATCCTCAGCACACACTCCAAGGCAGCTATTTCCCCTACAGATTACCCTAAGTATAGGGATAGTGGAAATCCATAGGAGATGGAGCAGCTGCAAGCCTGGTGTTGAGGCATTAGACACAAAGCAGCATTTCTCTGCAAAAAAACCATGATAGGAAACATTTGTGTTTCCTGCCTGTGACCCAATTCCATGCAATTTTATTAGTTTGCTCTTGATTAAAAAAGCAATACTGCTGCTTTGTCCCTCAAAATTATTCTCTTTAAAAAGTGCTCAATGAAATTAGAGGTATTTTATTTGAATGTGCTGTGAAAATATACAAAAAAAAATCAATTGTGGCCCCCGAGGCTTTTCAGAGTTTTGTTGAGAGCACAAATAGGTTTTGGGAAGGCCTTTCACTCCAAGACATCCCCGTTTCAACCCCTCCATGGCTATGAATTAAACTCTACAGGAGTGAATTTTGACAAGAATACCATTAGATTAAACAAAGCTGAATATATAAATATACAGATGTGCATTATGCTAATTATACATATACGTGTGTGCATATATTTTTAATTATTTAATCTTACCCACACCTACACACAGAGACTTTTAAAATATAAATATAAACCACATCTCCAAAAAAAAAAACCAACCCCAAAGCAGTGAAAATTACAAGTCAAAACCAACCCAGACTTGCTTAGAACCCAGATTTTAAGTGAAAAGCTGCTTTCTATTATTACTACCTGCTTGTGCACGTCTTGTAGCAGTTTCCAAGCCATGATGCACATATAGAACAATCACATTTAGGTTGGAAAAGACCTTTAAGATCATTGAGTCCAACTGTGAGCCCAGCACTGCCAAGTCCTTGGAGGATTATTTTCTCTGCACCAACCCCGGGGATTGCTGACTGGCAAACCACACTGACAACATAAGATCGATCCCTCCTCTGAATTCCCCTGCTCACCTGGAGATAATGCAGCAGGATTCTGACTTTACTGCCCCTATTAAAATTCCCATTCTGTCTCAGAACAGATTATACTGGATGAGAGTAAAAAGACTGTAAAAACCATGATTTAGGGATTTTGCAGTGTCTGGATTTGGGGGAGAAAGCAGCACAATATGAGGTACCAGAGGCCAGGGATGCACCAACATCTCCCTCTGCAGCTCATCCTCATGTCCCACCTTGCTCCACCATGTCATCCCTCATGATACCCATCCTCACTCTTATTCCTCTCCATTTGCACCCCCTAAATACCTGCCTTGTCTCCAGTTCCCTCAAGCCCTCAGTGGGATTCATGGCCTAAATGCTGCAGGGGATGGGACAGGACTGTGCCTGGAGCAGGTAATTCCCCCCCTCTCCATCAAAGGAAAGGGCTCACCTGGAACTGGGCACTGATGCTGGGTGGTTTTTTCTTCTTATGGAGGTGGAGAAGGGATTTGGTGATGCGGTCGTGCAACGTCAGGTTCGTGAGATGCTTGAGGGACTTCACATCCAGCAAGTGCTGCAGAAAAAGAGAATCCATAGAAAATCCAGATGTTACCATCACACCATCTGCTACATCCCTCCTTAACCCTTAGAGGGCTTCCTTAAGTGAAGTAATCTCAACAGGGAGCACTGAGGGATGGCTTCCCCGTGAGGGTGGGGAGGCCCTGGCACAGGCTGCCCAGAGAAGCTGTGGCTGCCCCATCCCTGCAAGTGTCCAAGGCCAGCTTGGAGGGGCTTGGAGCACCCTGGTCTAGAGGCAGGTGATCCTGCCCATGACAGGGGGTAGGAGTGGATGACCTTTAAGGTCCTTTCCACCACAAACCATTCCATGATTCTATGATTCTCCTCACTGTTAATGTTCACTGATTAATTGCACTGGTGCCACTGCAGGTGCAAGATGGACATAGAGAGGAGTAAAAACAATGTTTGCTCCTTTCCTGGTACTCTGTTCCTGATCACAGATTCAGCATCAGGGAGGACCACAAAAAGCATTATTCTTCTAGGGACAACAGATCTCCTTAAAATATAATAAATGTAGCCAAGAGGGAGAGAAAGTAACGAGGCTGTTGTCTATCAGGTACTAGCTCTCCTGCATCACTTACTTGCTCATTTTAGTTTAGAGATTTAGCTATTAAATTTCACCAGCATGTACATACTCCTTCTCAGAAGGAGGAAAAAGGAGCCAGAGCAGCTCAAAGGGGGCTGTAAGTGCTCGTATATCTCCCAGCAGAAATCAGGGCTGAAATCCTTTGAGTTTATATAAATTAATGAGCCCTGAACAGAGCTGAGTTGACCAAAATCTTGGTGTAGACATAATGGTCTTCTTCATATCTAACAGCATTGCGTTACTGTGCTACAGCCTTAACCCACAGAACACAAAGGAGAAAATGTTGCTTCTTACTCACCTTTGGGAGACTGGGTTTGGCTTTGAAGTTCTTATTTCGCCTAGGGAGATAATAAATGGTTCAGGTTAATCCACAGTGCAATTGTGGAATAGAGGAGTTTTTGAAACCAGCCCCTCCAAATCCCCCTAAGCAGCTGCTGCCCCTAGCTGGCACTGAAATGGGGCTGCCCCTGCATATTGCAGACTGAGAGGAATGGACCCAATTAATGGGAATGGTTCCATTGGAAATGATGGCACCTTGGGGATTTGGGAAGAGCAAAGAAGCTACCTCACAAAATGATTGACCAGCCTGCTGATTTCCAAAGCCCATGTTCATCCCAGACACTCTGGGATGCTCCCTGAACCTTTGAGGAGACTGCAATGTGAATCATCAACATCATCTGCCCAGATAATTTATAATGGAAACTTTGATATGATGCTAAAAGTGTGACTGCATTACATGGCTGCTGTATCTCCAGACTGGTGTGACCAGCAGGTTTGTTCCTTCTCTTTCTTTCCTTTTTCTGTCGTTCTGAATGAACGAGATGAGTTAAATCAGACATGTCAAATGTGCCAGAGCTGCTTTGACCCAACTGGGAAACACCTCCAAGTCTCCTTGGCACTCTGAGAGTTTTATATCCTATTTACATTCCCCTAGCTACCCATGCTGCTCATTATTATGCTCCAGGAGTAAAGCTCAGCTCCCCTCCTGGGTACTGACATGAGGATGCCATGGGCCCTCTCCAGCAGTTTGCTGTTGGTGGTGCTGACGAATATCCCATCTTTGTCCAGGAAGGTGCCAGGGCTGGCGAGCCTGTTGTGCCTCATCCCCATCCGGCCATTCCAGCCAACTGCAAAGGCATCCCTGAAACACCACACACCGTTAGGAAGAGAGAAAAACCACGGTTCTATGATAAAAACAGATCATGAAATAACTCACTGGTAGAAAATGAGCTGCTGCTTTTTTTTCCCACTGTTCATTCACTCCCATGGGATGAGTCCCTGGTGCTACACAGCACATGAAGCCATAGTCTACTAAAGCACCTCTCAAAGATCAAATATTCACAAAAAGAACAAATTATCAGCAGGACAATAACAGCTTCTAGCTCTCTCAGACAGAAACCTTCAGTCTGCAGATACCTCTAGGTACCTTTGGTGGTCTGAAGGATATGAGGCCATGACATCTAGTGCAGACTCTGTCTCCTCACATTCACACATTCATTCCATTAGGAAGAGAAAAACAAATCTAATTTGCAATAAACTCATTATTTGCCACAAAGATGGATGTCAGCCCCAGCTGGATGGATGGATTGACTCTGAATCACTCTCTGGGGCCCGATTACAAATCAGTCACTCAATTTGGTCCCCCCTGCCATGGAGCATAACTGCTGTGGTCTCCAGAAATGCTCACCTGGCTTCAGAACGTCTAAAGAGAATGAGGAACCAAAATCCCACCTTGGAGAGATGAAAATGGATACTTGACCAAACTGCACATCAGGACAAGCAACTTCCAGAGATGAGGAGCCTTCCAGTGGTGTCTGGGCAACATGAAGCCTCTTATGGACAGCACCCAAACAAAATACTTTTGGCTTGGTGGGTTTTTGGTGGTCTGTTGGGGTTTTTAAACTCTAGATTTTTTATCAGCCTTGCAGAAATCATCATACAAAAGAAAAGCAATCTAAGGATGGACGTGGGGGCTGCAACGTGCCCCCCCCCCCCCCCCAGTTATCTCAGACAGGAGGAAAAGGAACAGGAGGAGGCTCTAGGCTGCACTAAGTCATGAGGATGCAGAAGGATATGGTGGTTTAAACATGGCCTCAGGCACCGGCTACTTCTGAGGTCCGACACAAAGGTAGTCCTTTGCCTTAAAGACCTGATTTGGAGGAAAGACAAATCTCAAGTGCCACATGGAAATTAAAAAATAAAGGATGTAAAGCTGTATGTTCAGCCAGCTCAAAACCTGGAGCCGGATCCTCAGAGCAATGTCACCTCACTGCCTCATCTGAGCACTTCCCAAATTCCTTCCTGATCCTATTAAATCAGCATTTTGACATGCACCACTACTATAAGGAGGGATCAATCACAGCAAAGTAAAATCCCTGGCTAAGCACTCCAGGACCTGCCTTCTTAAGCATTCCATTGACAGATTGTCAGTGAGAAGCTTGAATATCCAAGTGATCCCTCCTGTTCACCTTTCTTCTCTTTACATCTCAGGTACCATCCCCCAAAACCCTCATGTCTGCAGGTGGGAAAAAAATCACCAGTTGATGGGAACCACTAAAGCTCAACAGCCACTTTTGGGATGAACAACACCATTAAGCCTGGCTAACCTCTCTGGAAAACCTTAGAAATTCCCATGTAGTTTTGAAAAACCCAAGAGATAAACTGTCAGCTCTGTCCATTATGGACACTTTAGGATGGATATGTTCACATGGCAACAGATACAGGCTTTTGGTACTTTGGTGTCCATCACCTCACTGAGTCCAGCCAGCTGTTTCCAGACCAACACCTGCTCAGACAAACCTGCACATAAAAGTGTCACTAGTAAGCACCAACCAGCAGGATCCCAACCAGCCCAAGTGGTTTTGGTTAGGCATGGCCTGGCCTTCATTTCTCAGCAGCTGAGGAAGGCACTTGGAATGCTCTGCTGAAGCCTGGTTTCCCCCCCAGCATGTGCAAACCACCCGTCCACTTTCCTTCCTGAGATCAGAGGAGAGCACTTGGCTCCCTAAACCCTCCACAGTGACTTCCTGAGTGATGTCATGCCTGAAGATTGCTTTTAGAAACAGGCCCCAAACTATCCTCTAGGTTGAATGCACAACCAGACTTATCAGCAACCACATGATCATGAGATGGCTTTGAAAGCAATTCCTGTTTAATTTGGAGCCATAAATTGCTTGCCAGTCGATCTGCTGGGAAGCTGCTAAAGCCAATCTCTCGTCCAGAGTGTCACCTGCACTCCTGTGCTCACCTCCTCTTGCTCAACAAGTGCCATCTACCTGAAATACCAACATTCATCAAGTGTGACATGACTCTCCAGTTCAAAGGTAGCTACAGTCAAAGGGATCAAAATCACCTGCCTACTCTGAAAGCTCAGGCTGGATCTTGGAGATCTTAGGAGACACCTGGTTTGTACTTCCAGAAGGAAGGGGTAAAGGTGACATCTGAGGACTCATTACTGATGATGCCCAAAGGAAGTGAAGATCACGAACCATGCTATCAAGGCACCACAGAAGGAGGAACACAGGGGTTAGGATGACTCCAAAAGCACTTTTTCTGCAAATAAAGGCTCAGATTGAGGCTGCTGGTAGAACACAGCTGCTGAGGATGAGGAAGGAAAACACAGTTCCTCAATTCTGGCTGTTTAGGCTGACTTGTCTGCTGTGCTGGCATGGGTTAAACCACATAACTAGTGTCCACACACTGAACTCCTCAGTAAATAAACACATCCTCCTCCTTGCCTGGGTCAGGAGGAACTTCCCTGCCTTTACAATGTCCCTTTGCTGAGATAACTGAAATATTTTGAGCTATGAAAATGTTGGCAGCCCCAGCTCCCACACTAAAGTGCCTCCAAAGCTGGAGTTAGTCAAGAAAAGCCCTGTCCCAGTTCACGGATTGTTGGGAAGGACAGGAATTTAATGGAGAAGTTTTGCAGATATACAGAAGGTTTTATAGGAATGAAAACAAGTTTTGATATAGAAGAAAAGAATTGTTGAGCTAGTTTTAATGGGTAACTAGAAAACAAAAAGCAAGTGAGTTAGAAGAGGCTTTTATGGCTTAGAGCAAAGGATAAATCCACCTCAAACAAAAGGATTTTCACAGGCAAACAAGAAAGCCAATGTTGCAAGTAAAAAAAAAGATCTCAGAAATTTCCACTGCAGAACAAGTCCCAAAGCCTAACATATAATTACTAACTCTGATGATTGACTAGTCACTAACATAATATGGTCATTTTAGCAGTTTTGATAGGTTATATGTAAATGTAAAAGGTATTGTGTATGATGTTGATTGGTAGTCATGTATTAAAATGCTCTGTAATGAAAAGTATATAATGAATTGTAACATAAATAAAATTTGGCTTCAGGACACACAGCCAGCAGCTCCAGGCTCAGCCACCACCCTCAACTGCTGTAACCTCATCTATTCAACAAACAGCATTTTAAAAGCTGGCTAAAGCCTCCTTCTCTTCATCAGGCTCTTACAACTGATATTCCTCATGTGCCAAAGGCTGGATAGAGAAACTGCAGGAATCCTCTTATCTACAGGGGAAAATCTCCAAAGGGACAAAGTTTCATGTTACATTATCTTGAGGGAAACTTGCACAATCAGAGGTGCTGGAAACAGGGAACGTCACCTCTGGAGACACCAACATTCCCTGCTTTGAGTGTTACCAATGTCCAACTGTTGTCACAACCCAACCCATCAGAGCCCCAGCAGCTGCAGCATTATGAGAAAGGAAAGGAGGGTGGCACAGACTGGGGTGAGGACAGCCAGGGTTGCATCACCTTCCCAGGACAGGGTGGAATTGCTTGTACCAGCTGGATTTCTGCTCAAACTTCAGAAGTGGCACAAATTTATGAATTCAATCCCACCATTTTAAGCAATTCCCATCCTCTCTAACCACTGAAACGGACTTATAATGATGTGAGACCATTCAGTTCTCCTTCAGTAGGGTGCCACTGCCTCTCTCAAAGGAGAGGAATTCAGAGGAAGGACATTCTATTCTCGATGGCACTCAGAGAGCACGCGGTGAACAAAACCAGGCAGAAGAAGCCACTCTTCTTTCCCTAAAAAAAGGAACAATGTGTATCTGATTTTTGTTTTGGCTGTTTGGCATTAAAGCCATTAAAAATGAGCCTTCACAATATCCTTGAAGGATATTTAGTTCTGTGTGGAAGCCATTGAGATGCAAGGACTGATTTAATGGACACATTAAATGGAGACAGACTCAGCCCCCTCTTGACTTGTTCTGGGCTTCTCATTAACCTCAGAGCAGCCATAAAGACACACCTGGATATCCACAGCTCCAAGCAGTGGTTGTAGGAGCAGAGGGTGCTCCTATCATTCCTTCCCCAGCATACACCTGCTCAGAGGGAAGTGGGTATTGGGAAATGAGACCTCCTGGGATGTGGGGAGGAATAGCACAAGAATAGCTGGGAAAAGGACCAGTGCCCAGACATGCCTTGGAAATGAAGACTTTGGCTTCACAAGCAAGTTAATTCTGGAATGGGGATGGAGAAGGCTTTGCAGAAGAGGCACAGATCTGTAGCTCAAGTGTAGACCTGAGTCTTATTCAGTAGCTGCTTAAATGGTCAGAAACTTCAAGGAAGGATTTAAAAATAAAAATATACATAAAACTGTAAAAATCAATCAATTTTGAAGCAAATGTGCTTTTTTTCCCCCCTGAAAACATGCAAGCATTTGGTAAAGTACCATCTCAAACCCCATAACTTCCAGGTTTTCCACATTCCAAAGTGCCTGGAGCCACCACATGCTGTATGCAGTTCTGCATCCAAATCTGTATTCCTTGAAAGACTATTTCCTTGGTATTGGCACATTCATTCATTTTTTTAAGCTTCTTATCCCCTTGTACACCCAACACCATCAACTGCTGCCTTTGACACAGGGAAGTTGGTTTCCCTGCCTGCTGTTTAGTCAGGAAAGGTGTTTGGATCCAATCACAAGGCAGAGAAGGAACAAAGAGAAATCAGATTGGTAGGCAAGACAGGAGAAATGTCAATACAGTCATTTTTAGGCACAGCCAGGGCTCTCTCATGCCAGATCCCTGGCCATGGCAAGGTAAAAGCAGGAGCCTTACCGTGGGCTCCTCTCGTTGATGGTGTTGACTCCCTGGAGGTCTGAGAGCGGCGTCCTCGGGCTCTTGCGGGTGATACCTGAAGCAGCACATGAAGAAGATGTTTCCAGCTGGCTGCCACCCAACACACAATCAGCAGAGCCATGGCTCAGCCCTGACTCTGGCGTGCAGCAGCCGACGTGTCCCAGCACATTCCGGGTGCCAAGGATGCCATCCCGGTGCCACCTCCCTGCCAGAGCCATCACCCCTGTGAGTCACACTGTTTGCTCCAGCCTCTCATTCCCCTCCCACAGGTGCATGAGGTGTTGTAGGGACACGCTGTCCCAGCGAGCAAATGGGGTGAGGGAAGGAGATGATGGGGCGGGGGGAGCAGTCACTCGTGTTCTCCATGTCCAAGAGATTCCCAAGCTTTTCACCAGCTGCATGGGCAAAACAATAATTAGAATGCTTGGGAAAATGGCCATTCATTTCTTAGACACTTCTTCTCTCCCTCCCTCCAAATATAAGGGCATGTGCAGCAAGTAGGAAATACTTTATATATTATTTTATAAAGGCTTGATAGCCTATTGAGACTATATCCTTTGATAACTAGAATAATTTATTTGTAAATAAATAAAATATCTCTAATAAAACAATATATTAAATAAAGTATCTATTGTGTATTCAGCCAAAGAAGCTGCCACACATGGTTACAGTAGCAGCTGCTATCTCTCCCAAAGTGGAAATGTTTTGTAACCAAGCACTTAAAAAGACAGTAGGCAATTTTTATAGACAACAAAACACTTCAAGTCACCAAACCACAGAAATTTAAAGATTTGATAATGTGGAGTTTGACAAGAAAACAGTTGAGCAATTTTATAACTGTCTCAAAATCACTGCTGTGAGACAGGAAAAATCACAGCTCTCACCTCAGCATGGGGAAAATGTGTTTTATTTTACCCTGAGACATCTACAGTGGGAAAAAAGGGGGGGGAAAAGCTTTCTAAAAAGAAAAAAGTCTAAACTATGGTTTGTAGCAGAACAGGAGGAAGCATATCCCCTCCTCCCCATATTTATAATTCCACTATTTCATGCAGCCCAGGTGCTGAGCTAAAAGGTGTCCTGGTGATTTTCTGTTCTGAAAGATGAACACAAAGCAAATACGCTGAGACCTGGGCCTGCCCTGCTGTTCTGAGCCTGGAATTCCTGAGGAGAAGATGAATTCCTACCAAAGTCAATGGTGACATCACTTTAACTGGACATTTACCACCCTCCTTGTCCTGTAAAGGTGTTGTAACAGCTCATCTTGAAGCTCAACAGGAGAATCTGCTCATCGTGAATTGGGCAAGAGATCCCTGAAAAGGCTGATGGTCCTGCTGGTTAAGTTTTTGCATCTAAAGGTAGCCCAAATATTCTGGAAATGTCAACAAAAGAAAATTTGAGGGTGTGCTGCTCCAGGTCATCTTTGAACCCTGCCTGTGTTCCAAGGCAGGACCAACCAAATCACTCCTGCTGAGAAGGTTTGGCATCTCCAGCACTGGAGGTTTTTGAAAAGCAAGGCAGGTAAAGCATCTGAGTGCTTAACAATATCCAAGCTCAAAACCCTTTCCAATCCCTCTTTTTGCCATTTAACCCATTTTTGGGTTACAATTATTGCCCTAGGATTGTTCTTGTGCCTCTTTCAAGACTGGCACTTCTGTGTCTGAAGTCCTGATTTAGAGCACAGAAACCCAATTGTAAAGAGGGAAAAATGGGAATAACCAGGAATCTGCTTAAAATGTTGCATTAGTACTTTATGTAGCTAGTTTTAGATGAAGAAAGCACCTAATGTCTAGCTAGACCTTTTTTTAATATAGATTAAATATATTTTAATATACCTGGATACTCCTCTATTAAGGCCCAGAAGGCTTTTCTTGTCTAAAGGAGTCCATGAAAAACAGTATTTCACTGGTATTTCCAAGATTTTTTTAAATGCATACCCTTCTTTGTGGAGCAAAACTGTCTTCCTACCCTTTCCTGCACTCCCCGCCAAAGAAAGAAAAGGTCCAAAACACCTTCCAACCCAACAAGTCAAGCTGAAGTGATGAAGACAAGGTTGTATCAAATTATCCCTGCATCCACACCTTGCATTGCTCAGGAAAAGGGAATTTCTATTTCAGGCTTTCAGGTAACAGCTGCATTTAAATTGCATCATGGTTCTGCCAGCTCAGCACCTTAAGTTACTTGTTGATTAACAAAGGTCACAGTGCACATGTTGGGTTAAAGAGAAGTACTTTAGGTGCACCAAAGGGAAAGACTTTTCGACATTGTGCCATCACTTGGCTCTTTAAAGAAGGAATACAGCCAAAAAAAGCTGTAATGTTGATGTAAAACCCTTTTCTTGGAAATAAGAGGTATTTCTATAAATAGAAGGTAAAAAGGTCTTAGATTTCAGCTGGTGACTTGCACATAGCCTTGAGAATTGTGTATGGTGAATATGGGCTATTAAATTGTAGGAATTGAGACACAGCAGGAAAGAACAATGTGGCAACAACCTCTCACTTCCTTCATCCAGCCCAGACACAGCCTCATCTGGTTTACACTTCAGGCAAAAATTATTCAGATTTTTCAAGCATATTCCCTTTCCTTCAGCTGGAGTGTTTCAGAAAGATGGACTGATTTACCTAACAAGTCTTTGCCCTTGTTAAGAAGAGTTTTGGATAAACCCTGTCTACTCCCTATGGATGAATGCCAACCAGCAGGGCTCCAGACTTGAATCAGAGGTGTCTAAACCCAGTGCCTTGCCCTGGAGGAACTGGTGGACTCCACAGCACCAGGGAAGCAGCTGATGGTAAGGGAAGGGTGACCAGTTGGTTCCAGAATACCAAGGGACCTACAGGTTATCTCAATAAACTCATCAAACCAATTTTTCTCTCTTTGTTCAGAACTAATTGCACAGTTCAAGACAAGGAGATGACCTTGGTTCCTGCCTCAAGGATGACATGGATGTATAACCTCATCTGACTTGTGGGAAAAGCCAAGCTCACCTGTGGGGCCCAAACTCTGATGGATTCTGAACGGAAACGTTACACAGCTCCAAGCCCACTTCAGCTTGCCAAGGGAGCCTGGGGAAGCAGGAGCACACCCCGTGGGAAGATGGGAAGGATCTCTGAATGCAGAACAAGAATGACTTGCTTGCATGGTCAGATGCCAATTTACAAACTGTGGCGATGTTCTTCTTAGACCCACACGCTGGATTTATTGTAAAAGATCCCAAATTGTGTGGACTAGTCTATAATAGTGAAAGCTCAACTTGAGCTCAACTTCCTGCTTCCCACTAAATTAAAGCTCTAAGCATCTCTTGAGTTGTATGATTTTCCTTTTTCCCACCTATGGAACTGCAAACTAAACCCCCCAAAATCTCCCATATTGTGGAGCCAATTTAAAAATTAAAGTTACATTGATTCATTTATTGCAGGTAAAATTACTCTGCTGATAACTATCTTCCTTTCCAATAGTTTCTTAGTAGCATCAGTAAGGTCACTTGGCACAATTCCACTTAATAAAATCTGAAATCAAATAAAATTTAGTATCACGCCTTTATATTTTCTTATAGCGGTGTTGGAAACTTGTAGGGGAAAATAAAGTAGTTAAATTAACAATGAAAGCCTAAATTAAGACCTAAACCACCACTGCTCCCCCAACCCCACATGCTGCAGGAAGCACAGACCTCTGACAGAAGGTTTCTAACAGGAAAACCGTATTTATGAAGGTTTAGCATGCACCTATTGTACTTACTGTGCTCAGCTCTACAGAAAAAAAGTGGTTTCCACTTACACCTAAATTTCATGAAGTTTAAGCAAGTTGAGCTGCCCATGCAGAGCAGCTCTATTTCTCTCAGTTTTAACACACAACATGAAGAAAGAGAATAATGGTAGGCAAATAATATATCTAAACATGAGACCACCAAATATCTATTTAAATATAAAAAAAAATAGAGTAGTGCAGGCAAGAGTGTCCATGTTGTCATGCAGGATGAGTTTATTACATGACAGAGGAGTGAAGATGAAGAAATGGAGACCAAGTGCATCATTCTGTAAAATAACATTGACGATGCCTCTGTTTTAAGTAAAAGCCCTGGGAGACAATATTTTCACAAGCTAAAGATATTTCTGAAGTCCAATGAAATCCAAATTAAGTTGAATTCCAGCTATACCAGCCTTGTATCAGGAATATTCTTTATTAATGTCAGTGAGTAAATAGGGAAATTGCCAAAAAAATGATTTTTGCAAGATCTCAAGAGATACGGGTTTGCTTTTAATTGGACTCTTCCAACTCTGCCTAATCATTTCCCAATAGGCTCAAAACTGATCTAAGGCAGCTGGTTTGATCATGGAGGGCTCCTCAGGCGCTGGTTTTAATCCTTTCTACATGGAATGCAGCTGGTTTCCATTTCTGGATGTGTGAGTGTGGTATCAGAGGGGGGAGGGTGGTGGAGCCTTACTGTACTTCTCCTCCTTGCACCTCTGCAGGATCTCTAAGCTCCTCTGGTGAACTGGGTGGTGGAGAAAGCTAAAACTATCCACACTTTTCAAAACCGCACATGGCACTGCATCATCATGCCCTTGGGAAGCAAAATAAAAACAAACAAAAAAAATGGAGAGAAGAGAAAGATTTAATAAGCAGAAATCAGGAGAGGGGAAGGAACAAGCCCAAAGGAGCTCAAGGGTCACACGTTTTGTGCTCGACACAATTCAACCGTGGTTTCCTCTGCACTGTGGCATGGGAGCAATGGGCTGGACCATGTCCCAGTCCCAATTATCATCCTCATCAGACAGAGCACAAACACTTAATAATCACTCCAAGATTATTTGGGCAAAAAGAGGATGATTAGATAAATCTTTACTTTTATTAACTTATTTTTTAAATCCTTTCCGTGTCTCTGCCCAGTGTTACCCACAAATCCCTGTCCAGATGCTCCATGAGACAACCACCTGGAATTTTCATTTTGCATCCCAGTGCTACATTTTGCTCAGATTTTGGCATTTTAAAGGGAAAATGTAAATTATTTGCATTAAGCACCATTTCTATATTCGCTGAGGGCAGAGGACACAGAGCCTGGAGTTCAGCAGGATGGGTTTGAATTGGAAGAAACCATCAATGTGTGGCCAAGGGGACTTCTGATGGGCCAGCTGTGAGCACAGGGTAGAGGAGAGGTCATGCCAGTGATATTGTGCCAACACACAGTGCCTCTCTGTCATTGTTGGCCAAGTCCAGGATGTGCCACACTCCCAGTGAGGCGTGGGGAGGTCACCATGGAGTCACTTTGTGCCAGCAAAGTGGAGAGCATTTCATATCAACACATCAAACCATTGGAAAGGACTGATCTGAATTTTACACGGGAACACTGTCAAGGGGAATCTGCCTCACCACCAGTGAGACCTCAAACACCAAGCTTTTGGTTGCTGTCACCTTTATTTGGCAAATGCAGTCTTTTTTATTGATTATTTTGAGGGCAGTGGTTTTTTGGGTGATCAGCTTCAGGAATAAATCTGCAGAAGCCAGTGTGATTATTTTTAAGCAGGAATTACCCAAGGAGCAACCCTTGTTGGCCAAATCCAACTACAGAGCCCATCGAGGACAGGCACAGCCTCAAGACCACAGGACCTTCATCAGAGCAAGGATTTAGGCCCAGCAAAACCAAGTTTCTGCAGCCTAGTTTGTATGAACAGCACCATTTTTTCCATTAAGTTTTTGCCAAGAATTAGACGGTTTTGCATAATAAATGTGCATTGATGACAGCAAAAAAAGTCAATCAGCCAATATTCTTTCCTAGAAAGCTTGACAGTGTTCCTTTAATCCAAGTTCACAAACAAATCCAGCTCTAACATGCAGTTCTATTGGACTATTTCAATACTCATTGATAAACTTAGTAATAAAAAGAATTAAAAATCAAATTATTGAAGAGTTCCACCCTTCAGCTAAGTGCAGCTCGCCTGATCCTGGCATCTTATATTCGAGGAGAGTTGGCAGCACCATAAGAAGAAGCATCACTCAGGCAGAACACAAAGGTACCAAAGAAAATCCACAGTAACACCACTTTGCTGCTCTTCACCTTCAATTTAACGAAGACAATCACACAATCACCAAAAGCTGCACTAGGAGGGTATCAGGAGCACAGAAAAAAAGAGTCCCTAAAGCTAGCACGAAAAAATGCTGATTATCCTTCCAGAAGCATCTACTTGGCATGGAGGAGACAACCAAAAGGATGATGTGGAAAGGAAGCAGAGAAAAATTTTGCAGAGCTGCTTAGACATAAGCCAGGGATTTTTCCAGAAAATCCCTGTTGGGTATTGCAAGTGTAAAAGCATGAGAGATCCAGCTGAGGTTCAGACAAAGAGTGCAAAGGGCCTTTAATGAAAAGAAGCACGTTTTGGATGTTTCCCTGCTCCCTCACTTCACCTGCCTGAGGGATGGGGAAAGGACCTCAGAAATCAAGAATGGGCAGCACATCTTGAAAAAACACCTGTACAGGTATTAAGCGTGTGCATGTGGATGACTGTGTGAGAGAGGCTTTTCTTACTCTTCCATCATTTTGTCAGAAGCTCCACATCTGTGGGCAGGTAGATGCTCAAATCAGGCTAATTAAAGCCATCAAGTTTTGATAAAAAAAGCAAAATAAACCTCAAACGTGCTGCCTTTGGTTCTCTGCTTCTATCAAGATGGGAGAACTTTAGGGATACTTTGCTAACTCAGAAATGTTTTCTGCCATAGATGCAAAGCATCAGAATGGGGCATTTCTGCATTATTTTGGAGAGAAGGGAATTCCAGCATCTGGCAGTGGATGCATCATGCTACACCAGCCCGTCACACTGTCCTGACACTGGCTGAGCCTTCTGCCCATGTCTACGTCTTCCACAGCCACCTGCTTTGGTGACAGGATTTTGGAGGAGGACAATGGAGCAGAGGATGGGTGTAAGGTCACACCAACAAAAACACAGTGAAAACACTGCTACTGATCTCACCTTGCTAAGTGTGACCTGGGCAAAGTCAGAATCCCAGAACAGGTTTGAGTTGGGCAGGGACACTTTCCACTAGGGATTGTTCCAGGGCCTGTCCAACATGGATGGTCATGCTTGACCATGGTGGGTAGCTCCCCAAAGAGGGCAAGGAGAGTGATCACAGCTCTGCCACTGCTTGTAGGCTAAGTTTTCCCCACAGATAAGGTGTACCTCAATATGGAATACAGATTTGGGTAATCACCTCCCGGTAGTGTTGCCTGTATAATGGAGACTTTCTCATGACTTTTTCCCAATTTGGTGCACATAAAAGTTCAGGGTATAAATGATCTGAAGATTGTTGGTAAGTTTAAGACAAACCTTATCCAGCTTTCTGAGGGGTTTGTTTTTTCTTTGACTCAAAACCCAGAGGGTACAAAGCACAAAGCAATTTGAACACGGGATAAAGGACACGGACAGATAATGGAGCAGCACCATGAAAAGGTTTAGAAATTCAGCCATCACCATGTATTAGTTAATTTTGGTATGAAAGAGACCTCCTGGACTCATCCACTTATCTATCTATCTATCTATCTATCTATCTATCTATCTATCTATCATCATATCTTTATATTGATATATAGAAAGAGACATATAAGCAAGTTACTGCTACAAACTCTGGACTGAAAAGTGGGAATGAGGAGACGAGCACAGCAGTGTGCAGCACCAGTTGCCAGAGACACAAAAAAGCAAAGCAGGGCTTGAAATCAGCTCTTACTTCCTGAGATGGAATGATTTTTTCTTATCTTCTGGATTACTTCATTTGAGTTCAGCCTGGGGTTTATGCAAGACGAAAATGCAAAGATGGATTTTGCAAGCCACCTCTTTCTCCCAGCGCCAAACACTCTCCTTTGGTTACTCTGTCCGAAAATGCTGCCTTGATGTGCCAGACAGACCAAGGCTCATGAGAATCAGCTCTTCTCTTACACTGCATCTGAGAGGAGTCAGAGGGAGAACCTCAAGAGCTGAAGATTGATTTTTTGCCTCCTGCTCTTCTTGGGATTTGCTCCCAAGAAAATTATTCTTTCTGCTTGAAGAGTTTGCATCCCTGTGCTCCTTGTCCGAGGCTCCCTCACTTTCCGTGATGCAAACCTCACTGATTACAAAGTAATTCATGGTGCAGCTCTGCATTTAATTTTAACCCAGCTGACATGTTCCCTGCAAAGGCTCTAATTCCATCACGGATTTCAAGCCCTCTTGTGCCCAGAAATGAATAGTAATAGCTTGTACCCGTCTTTCCAAAATTGCTTTATGCAGAGAAATGGTCTAAAAGCACAGCTAGGTCTTGCCTGCCACAGCATGATGATGCACCATCACTTTCCTTTAATTTAATGCCCCTGCAATTTGTGGTTCTGGATGACTGCAAAGCCATCCAGATGAATTTTGCTAGACAAGAGACATGCTCTCCTGCAGCTGAAAGAGTGAACAGCTTGGAAAATGATAGGAAGATTTACTGTCTTTTTTTGTTTCCAGATGTAACTCGCAGTTCAAGAATTATTTAAAAAAATTTATCTTTTTTGCTGGATAATTTGTATGTCTCTGTTTGAATGACTTGGGTTTTTCTATCCATGCGTCCTAAAAAAAGGAAAATTTAAAGCAGCAGTAAAATGAAAATATTTCCTTATGATATGTTAAAACCCAGATGAACCTTTAAATGTGACTTCTGCAAAAAAATCTACCTGTTATTTCAACGAGTTTCCTAACAGATTCAAAACTCCTAATAAGTCAGGCCACTTCAAACAGGGTAATAACATATTAGACCCAAATTGCTGCTGAAAAACAGGCTCCAGGACCGGGTGATGGGCACACATACCAGTTTTCTTCTCCACGTGTCGTTTTCCAGCCTCCCTGAGGGCGACCATGGCCCTGAAAAAGGCCCTCAGGACAGCCCAGCGGAAAACAGCCACGGGATCAACGCCGACCATGCCACAGATGAAGGCGTTCCTGCTGCTGCGCAGGAGAGCAACGATGTCCGGGCGCATGTGATCCGTGTTCTTCTCTCGGAAATCCTAGGGGAGGAGGAGGAGAGAGGAAAATAAACAATACCCACATGATACTCCACGTAGGATCTTCTGGGCCAGCACAACTATTGGATCCTGTTTCTTTTCCTCTCCTGCTCCCATATCAGATACCTCTTTGTGACCGTCATCTCTGATGCTTATCACGTGCATTTATTGCATCAGAAACAGGATGAGAAATTTGCAGCTGCAAATCCCGAGGCTGTTTCTCACACAGGCTCATCTGGCCACTGGAATTCCTTCTGCTAGTAGCTGGCGTGAATAGAAATAGGGTCAACTTTGGAATCATTCACGTGGGATTCCAGAAAGTACCTGTGGCAGTGGGATGCTGAGACTTAAGCACACATAATTTGTATTAAAAGCAGCTAATGATGAGGAAAACGCTGCATTTTCTACACAAACCAAGCCCAGAAAGGCCACCAGACACCCAATTTTAACTTCTTGTTGGGGTGTAGCACTAAACTCACTGTGCGTCCCTAAATGCCCACATAGAGGGGAACAGGAAAACCCTGTTCCTACCACCTTTTCATTTCCCCAAACACTTCTCTCCTGACCCTCCCATCTTCTTGGGCCAAATCCTCTCCAAAACACCGCTGTGGAGCCTCTGGGGCTTTCCTTCCCAATCCCAGATGGAGACGAAAGCTGGGAACAGCTGGGTGACAGACCTTGACTCCGTACTTCACTTTGCCAGCATAGTGTTTGATGATGAAAGCTGGCTCCATCACAGCTGGGAATTCAATGTAGGAGCTCCCTTCGTGCTGGCGCTTGAATTTGTCCAGCAGCGTCTGGTTTGTGGCTTGAGGAAAACTGAGTGGAGACAATGGAAAGGAAGAAGCTGTAAACCCAACGGGAAAACTCTGACACTTCTTTCTTGGCCACAAAAGGGAAAACAGAGACATTCTGAGCTTCCACTTCTGTGTGTGCTTCAGCAGAGCCTCTTGTTAAGAGAAAGCCAATCCTCCACCCTCAAATTTCATGGAAATCTGCAGCATGGAGATGCATTTTACAACTTTACCCAATTTGTTTTATCCCAGTACAATACCACTGGGAGAACATCACTGCTGGTCTCTTGTCAACGAGACAAGAAGTGCAGGAGAAATCTGCAAGGCAAATGATGGGAGGAGGCTGCATGCCCCTGGTCACGTGGATCTGAAGTGACCTCAGCAAAACCACCTGGTTTTCCCTGCCTTTCACAGGGAGGAAACTGGAACGAGCATCTGATGGGAGAACTTTCTGCTCCAAAGTTTCCACACCAAAGCAGTCCCAGAAGCCACATGTTCACCCAAGAATTTCTCCCGAGACAGATGGATGCAAACAAGGATGCAAATCTGAGCTAAGTCCCTGATGCCCATAAAACCCAGTGGAAATGCAGCCCCTATGGATGAGTGCTCTCACTTCACTCTGGTTCAATTTTTACCAGTAAATTGATAAGTCCACCTTATATCTCAAAAACAGCACCTACACATCCTGCTTTTAACTCATGCACTTGGGTTCAGCACTTTCACATCATCACATCCCAAGAGACAGGGAAAGAAATGAAGAGAGAAGCAAAGGAAACCTTTTCCCTTCCCTTTAATGGAAGAAATTCTGGAAAGGAATTTTAATTATGATTTTTAAGGGTTTTTGCTCAGCTGGCTGATTCTCCACTCTGTGTGTTACCACCTCAAAAGCAATACTAGAAACACCAATCAGCCAAGCAAGCTATTAGCAACTTTCTGGGAAGCTGGGGTTTTTTTGTTGTTTTTTTTTGTTTTGTTTTGTTTTTTCTTTCAGAAAACTGAAGAATAAGCACATTTTATCAGAAGAAGCAAATCTCATTTCCAAAGCCAGCATTTTCCTACTCACTTGCTTTCCTCATCCAGCAGATGGAGCAGTCCCGTTGGCTTCTTGCTGATGAGGTTGATGCAGCTGGAGTTGTCTATGTAGTCGATGTTGTGCCAGCTAATTCCTTCTGCTCTATATTCCTCCTAAAAAAAAACCCCACAGATGACATAACGATGATTTGGTGTAAGAAAAAAATAAAAGACGAAATCCAAAGGGTTTTGTGGAAACTGATACACTGTTTACCAAAACAGACATCTCTCCTGTAAAATATTCCATCAATGCTTTTTGTGATTCCAAAGAAAAGGATAAAGAACCTCTGGAACAACCTGAAACAAAGTGAACCACAGAGCATTTCCCAATTTCAGATGCACCAGACGTTTGTTTGGACACAGGGTGGCTGTGCATCCAAACCTGCCAAGGATGTCTTGCATGTGTGGACTTCCCCATTGCTTTTACTGGATTGTTTCTAAATCACAGCACAGTTTGGGCTGGAAGAGACCTTAAAGCTCTTCTTGTTCCACCCCCTGCCACGGGCAGCAACAACTTCCACTAGTCCAGGGTGCTCCAAGCCCCGTCTAACTTGGCCTAGAACACTTCAAGGGATGAGGCAGCCACAGCTGCTCTGGGCACCCTGTGCCAGGGCCTCACCATCCTTACAGGGATCAATTTCTTCCCAATATTCCATCTAACCCTGTCCTCTGGCAGTGGAAGCCATTCCCTGTATCCTGTCCCTCCATCCCTTGTCCCCAGTCTGTCTCCAGCTCTCCTGGAGCCCCTTTAGGCCCAGGAAGAGGGTCTGAGGTTTCCCTGGAGCCTTCTCTTCTCCAGGGGAGCACTCCCAGCTCTCCCAGCCTGGCTCCAGCCCTCAGAGCATCTCCATGGCCTCCTCTGGACTCTCTCCAGGAGCTCCGTATCTTTCTGATGTTGGATCCCATGGCTGGAGGCAGCTCTGCAGGTGGGGTCTCACCTGAGTGGGGTAGAATGGCAGATTCTCCTGCTTCCCATGCTTTGGGATCTGGGGGGTTTTGGGGTTCCCAGTGCAGGTGAACTTCCCACACATCAGTGTCATACAATTTGCATCAATTAATATTTAGTGTTCAGTTGCTGGAAGGAAATTGTGGTTCAACATATTAATTAAACAGTAAACCTCCCTTTCCTGCTTCTCTGGGCTCTGCTCTTCCATATCTCCCACTATTAATGGCTGGTGCTGTATGGGCTAATGAAGAGACTTCCAGCCATACAGAGCCACTGCTCCAGGACCAGCAGAACCACCACCCTCTACAGCAACTGCCCCCAAATTCAAGCTGAGGCAAAAGCAGCTATTTATTTTCCACCAAAATAGTTCTAACCCTTGCTCTCCTATAAAGGTAATCTCCTCTGAGACATACTTGCAACTGGATTACTTCACGAAGTCTTATGTAGAAATTATTTTTAGGGCACCTAAATGAAAGCAGAGTTTAAAAATCGTAATTTTTATCCTAAGTTTGAGGACTTGTTACTCACTGTCTAAACAGAGACATTGGACCATGCACCTTACTCCATGTGTTGGACAAAGTCCTGCTGATCCAGCTGCCTTTTTGCTCCTCTATCACAGGACATTTTGATGACAGAATTGAAGATAGAAAGCAAACAGGTTTCAACTCCTAACAGGATGCATCTTTCTAATAATAATAATAATAATAATAATAATAATAATAATAATAATAATAATAATAATAATAATAATAATCAGATTATTATTGCTGCCTCTGTCTTTATTTTTAATATGAGCAAACAACTTTAAAAAAAGTATGTCCATCCTCATCCAAAATTAACATGAACTCCACAGATGTTCTTAGAAATAAAGAGCCTAAAGAGCTTTGGACATTTCACAAGGAAATTTTTGCTAAAACAACCCCTAGAAGGTCTTGAATTCAGTATTGGAGACATATAATCAACAACAATACAGACAAATACAGATGTATGCTGCTTTTGAAGGACTTTTTAACATCCCTAAAGTCTTCGGGATTCAAAATGGACAACATCCCATTGGGAAAAAAATCCTGAAAATAAGGAATGTCTCTGCATTAGGAATTTTGTTTTCTCCTTTTATTTTTTAATCTTTTACCTTCAGTTCTTGCCGAGCATCCAGAACACAGCAGGACCTCACAACAGCATTCTCAAGTCCCTGCTGAACTGTAGGCAGTGGTGGCATTTTCAGTGCAAGCCAGGAAGAAGCTGCTCCCGAGGGATTGCCCAGAAAGTCCCTGGGAGTCAGCACCATCCATCAACTGCCTGCTTCCAACAGCCCCTTCATGGACTGCAGGGTCCATTAGGCCCAGCTTTGCCAGCTCAAGACTGGTCAGGAGCACGCAGAGAGCAATAAAACCTTGGTGTGATGAGCCAAGAGCAGCATTATTTCAGTGGTGACAGGCTGATGTTACCAGACTCGTGTATTATTATTATCATCACTCTTTGTTGAAATACTTGTTGGGGGGGGGGTTTCATTTTTTGCCCCCCAAAAGCCCATAAATGTTGAGTTTTATGTATCCACACATCTAAGCTTTGCTCTAGAAGGCCTCTAGATATCCATAATTCCACATGGGACATGCAGCAGCTGCACAGCAAATGTGCTGTGAAACTCCTCTGGCCACATAAAAAACTTATACTGCTGCTGAGATCAGTGCAAAAGCACTAATCAGCAATGCCAGATATGGAGTTTTTAAAAATAGTCTATAAATGACCAAAAAAGACCAGAGTTCAAGGTCTCTACTTCTCATTTTCAGCTGTTTCACAGACCTGATGGTCAGTCATCAGCCCCCTCCTGGCATAGTTTTCTTCAGCTGCAGGATTTTGGCTAATTCTCCTTCCTCTGTTCCTTTTTTCTCTGGCCTTGGTCAGAAACACTCACTCCCAGGCTCTGGGGTTCTTCCCTCCCTTCCATCCCCAACACAACCTGTTCCCACTCTGGCCAAATGAGAAGAGGGATTCAAGCCCTTAACAAACAACCTTTTCCACAATAATTCACAGATTTGCTCTCATTTCAAGACAGGCAACAGGAACTATTCCAGAGCAATTGCTCCAAAGCTTAAAGAGAAATAAATCCCCCTTATTCCTTTTCTCCTAGCATTTTTCCAGTCCTTTGTTTGGTTGCCTTCAGGATCTCAGATCAAGAGATACAACTATGGCTTTGGGATGGCTTGATGTAATTTCTGGGGCATTTGCTGGCCTGTAGAACACCCTACAGATTGTGCACAGAAAGACAGAAGCTATAGGATAAAATCATTGCTGTCTTATTCAACTTAATTAAATTGCAGTTGTTAATATTCCGTATGATTTCTATATTTGTCTTCTAAAGACCATCTTCCTGCAGAGTTCAGGAGATATCCTTAAAAGCTACCTCAAAAAAAAAGCTCCTTCATCTCTGAGTATGACAACAAAGCCTCTGCCATCCTTTGATAGACACAGGGTCCTGAGCACTGGAATATTAGGGAATTCCATTCAAACAACATGAGGTTTTCATTTAACAAGACAAAAACAACATAAAACACTCTCAGCCCATTCAAACAAAAACTCCTCAAGCCAGAGGTTGATTAAAAGTCAGCTTAAACTTATACCTTGATTTAAAACCAAGTCATGTTTAAGGGCACATTCAAATCTCCTATTCCTGGAAGATCATCTTTACATTAAGAACAAAATGGTTGACATGGCCACTATCTGCAAAAGTTTCTAGTGCAGTGAAGTCCACAGAGCCCCAGTTTTGGCATCCTTACTTGCAATAAAAACATGAGGATTTAATCCTCCCGTCCCTGGGTACCTGAAACCTGGTGTGCTGGAAAGAGGAGCAATGCAAGTTCACTGGGGAGAAGAGCACTGAGCTCCCCGACTCAGCAAAAGAAATGGAGCAAAGAACTGAAAAAAGACATCAGGGTTTATTTTAGAGTCCAGTAGCTCCATATTTTCATTTAATTATTGGGTAAGATGCTACAGATTGTTCTCCAGGTGACCTCTATGGACTCCACGAGGAGATTCTCACTTCCCAGGTGGGAATTCAGAAACAGCTTTGCTGTCCTAAGCATGGAGAGACACACTGGCAGTATGGCAGTGTGGAGTCACTGAAGGGATCTGAATAAAACATAGTTTATGATATTCAAATATATTTTAAAAAAGATATAAAATGGGGATGCAGACTTTGAAATGCACATGGAATATGAGAGAAAATCTTTGCTCTCATGCAGTGTGAGCTGAGGCAAAGCAGCATGTAAAATTTGGGGTATCAAACAAACAGAATGGGGCAGAATATCCAACATTTTAGAGTAGGAAAATTACTGGAACTCTAGGAAAGAAGGAGTTGTTAAAGCTCTGCTAAAGAGAAACTCTGCCTGCCTACACTGACCTAGAGCATGAATGCTGCCCATGGCACAGAATAATGAATTTAAAATTAAAACACACATGCTGAGCGTCAGGAAAACCTTCCCAACTGGGCTGCAAGGCCTGATGGAAACACTCCTGCTAGGAACAGAAATATCCTGTAATTTTATAGTTGGAGTGCTTGAGAACCAAGTCCTGTTATCTCTACAGGACTGTTGGACCAGTTCTGTTATCAAGACTTCTAGTGCTAAACCAAACCAAAACACTCTAATCCAGGGTGGAACTAAAGATTTCTTTATCCTGAGTGGGAGAAAACACCCACAAGTCCAACAAAATCTTGGATATGCTGGAAAATGTCTTTACACCTCCACATATGATCATCAATTACTCTGTATTCAGTCACAGTAGTCAGGAAATAAACCCAAATGCTAAAAAGCACAATTAGGGGAGAAAAGGTTAAACATTATTTTTAAACTCACACTTCTCTAGATATGATATCTGTGATAAATATGATATCTAAATAAGATATCAAAACTCTCTTTGGAGTATCATGGTCCCTGGGTGCTGCTGCTCCCCACGTGGTAAAATTCAGAGGTGGGGAGGGAGGGACCAGGGGCTTGAAAAACTTCAGAGATGAGGAATTGCAGAGATTAAATGAAACAGGAAACATGATAAAAATACAAAATAAAAACCATAATAAATTCCCCATCTGTCTAAAAGCACAAAACTCAGAGTTTAGGAGATTCAAATCAAAAGATGGTAAAAAGTCCCATCTAAAGATAAAGGTTTTACC